TTGGGGTTCCTTCAGTTTGGTTTTGGAGGGCTTGGGATGTTCAATTGGATTTTTAATTTTCATAAACTGTATGACTTCAGGGGGGAAATGGAGACACTGTTCTTTCATACCTTCCTCTTGAATAAATATAGGTATTCCCAAATTTGTTCAACACTTTCATGTTCTGTAGTATAGTTTTCTCGCTATCTCTAATTCAATTTAAAGAGAATAATATTGCTCATTTCTGACATCTTTAATACTGCATGCACTTTCAAAAATTTTTTATCTTCTCTAAGATCTTCAGGATAAGAAATAGCATTCCAGAAAACAGAAGATTCAGCAAGTTCTCCAAGCTGGGTTATCCTGAAGCAGGTGAAAAGAGAGTGAATACACAGACTATGCATTCCTCTGCTGCCATGGCTCCTCTGCCGAGTTATGTCTTGCTGGGTCAAACATGCATGAGAAGATCTTTGAAGAGAGAATAGCACATTAGTGATGTATATTATGTGACTCTTAGTCAGGTAACATTTAATAATGAATTACACAAAGAATTAAATATTTCTAACTAAAACTTCTAAAAACTTGTTTAGTAAACGAGGTCTGTGTTTTTCCTTTCATATGAAGTTTCACAGTTGGATGACCACTACCACTGATTTTTTCTTTTTTTTTTTTTTTTTTTTTTTTCAGATATGGTGTTACAGCAATCCAGCTCTGGGGTCCCCAGCACAGCAGGAACCTGTTGGAGCACATCCAAAGAAGGACCACCAAGTTGATCAGAGGGATGAAGCACCTGTCCTATGAGGAAAGGCAGAGAGAATTGGGCTTGTTCAGCCTGGAAATGAGAAGGCTTTGGGGTAACCTAATAGTAGTCTTCCAGTGCCTGAAAGGAGTCAACTGAAAATATGGAGAGAGATTATTTACAAGGGCCTGGACTGAGAGGACAAGGAGGAATGGCTTCACACTGACAGTGAGTAGGTTTAGATTAGAGATTAAGAATTCTTTACTTTGGGGGTGGTGAGGCCCTGGCACAGGTTGGATGGGGCTCTGAGCAACCTCGTCTAGTGAAAGGTGTCCCTGCCCATGGCAGGAAGGTTGGAATGAGATGATCTTTAAGTTCCCTTTCAACCCAGACCAGTCTATGATTCTACAAGTACTGAGAAGTTGTCCTTTCATATGATCTCCATTTTAATCTTCTTTTGATGCAGTGGTGAAAATAGCTCATAGTCCATTTCTGCTGTTTCCCAGCAGATCTTTTGCTTTGTTTTTTTATCTCCCTCTCTGGGAGTCTGCATAGGGAGAGGGAAAAAGCGCTTTAGATATGTGAAAAAGCTGCCATAAGAAAGCTGATTTTCATTTCATTTTGATAGGGCAGGGCAAGTCTGTGGGGGTGGCAAAATGTTTTCCCACAGAGAGCTAGTTATTAATCCAATGTCAGGCTTTAAGGATGTTTGTGATAGTCTGGGTATTAGTTTAATTTATCTGAGTACAACATCCCCTCTCCTCTTAATGTCAGCAGTCTTTTCACTCTGTGCTGGAGACCCATCAAACAAAAAAGTAAAAGCAGCCCAATAAGGCTACAAAACCTGTGGAGCTGCAGATATGAATGCAGTATAAATGACCTAAACTGTGAATCTGTTAGATTTCTACCCTGTCAATGGCCTATTTCTTTTAAAATTACCTAACCTGATGTTTCATGTGTATGGCTATAGTAATAATTATAAAAGCCTCGATTATCAATATTAAATAGTCATCTTTCTCTAGGTTTTATCACATTAATAGAGTAGTTGCCTTTATATAATTTTAAGTATTTTAAAACCATATTGTATTATTTTATCATATAGTTCATAAGTAGAGTCGTAAAACTAGAGTTTAGAAAATAATATCCAACTGATTTTATTAGTTTCAACTGAGTTATCTCATTTGTTATTTTAAATTTTGCATTATTTCCTTAGGTTATTAATTTCTTTGCTGCAGGGTGTTCATGACCTGTGAATATTCACAAGAGTAGATGGTAGTAATCTGTTAGTAAAAGTGGCTAATGCTCTCTCTTTTCCTGAATGGATCATACCATTTCATCAGTTTAGTCATGTAGCAAACCAACCAAATCCAACTTTCAAGAGTCCTATCAATCCACAGAGAAAATTAAAGTGAAATTTTAGAATTATGCCAAAAAGAAAAAAAAAAAAATCAACCTAAGACTGCAGAAGAAGAATGAGCAAGAAAAGTAATTAAATGAGGACTAAAAATAGAAAGAAGCAATGAATTCAATGTCTAGAGGGCAGTCATAGGATTTGCTTGTCATTAAGAGGAATAAAAATTGCCTGGAATAAACTTCATAATGTTCAACCAAGGTCAACAAGTCCAAAGTCCAGCATCTGGGGTGAAATAACTCAGTGTCTCAGTACTGAGGCTGACAAGCTGATAGGGATTGTCTGATTGCTGCCTTCAGATATCTAAGGGAGGATAGCAGAGAAGGCAAATGGACTCCTCAGAATTGCAAAGGGAAAGCCCAAGAGGCAACAAACACAACTTGCAGCAGCTGATAGTCCAGTAAGACACAGAGGGGGGAAGAAAATCACTATGCATAGTGTTTATGTAGTCTTCCACCTTGGAAATATTCAGATCTTGCCTTGACGTGGCCCTGAACAGCCTGATCTAATTTCAGCTAACCCTGTCTTGAGCAGGAGGTGGGACCAGATTCTTGTCATAGGTCCCTTCCAGCATAAATCACTCTGCTTCTGTAATTCCTGACTGATGGCAAGCAAGTATTGGCACGCTGGTAAATTCTACTCCCCTCATATTCAAAGTTTACGAATTAAAATATGGAAGCATGAGTTCTTATTTTTTTTATAACCAGCTCATACTAATACAGACTGTAATATTTTGCAAACAAATTAATGCAAGAACTCACGTTTAATTACTGTCAGCTCAACGTCCAGGGTTTGCCTATTAATTATTGCTACCATGGCCTTATTGCCAGATAAAATTGTTTAGCAAATGAGCTCATTTGCAGGAGTCCCAACTCCAACTTGAGACTACCCATGCTAAGTTATGTTTGTGGCTAGACTCTAATCAATCTGTGTGAACTGTAAGCGGCCAAAGTTTTTACTCCTCTGGACTAATCTCTTCACCACTAGAGCATAAATTCAGAATTTAAAATGCAGTGGCATCTCTGGGTAATAGTGTTTGTCTTTTATTAGTGATATATAGTGTCAATGATACAAATAGTGAAATTATGCAAAATATGACAAAGGAATCCAAAGTCCACCTGCACAAAACTCCTCAGATTTGTGATTAAAAAATATTTGATTGGGAATAAGACAGGACTAAACTAGTATTGTTTCAGGCAGCATGGACAATTGCAGTGACTTAACCTTGCCTGGCTGCCAGATGCCTACCCAGAAGATTCCTCAGTGCCCTCCTCAACACAGCAGGGTTTGTCAATTTGTGTGATAGTCAGTGTTCAGAAAGATGTAGAAACCTAAACCCCTTGAAATGAAGGATACTAAAATTATTTCTGAGAAAGTACAAAAAGTTACAAAGACACTACTGTGCCACAATTAAGCAGTGCTCAGCGCTACAAATGTCATCTGGTCATAAATATACATCTATATTTATACACATTTGTATTCATATATGTGTGTGTCTGGGATACACAATATATACAGAAGCATTTCCTACTCTATCTAGCAAAATGACCCAGAGATTTCATCCATTTGCAAGATGCAGACTCAGCTCTGCTCTGTAAGGGTAGTATGATTAAGCTGCACTGAATTTTGTTTTAAACACTTTGTGTTTAACTAAATAATTACTTATTTTTAGTAAGGTAAAATATTACTCTATTACTTTCATTATGGTATGATAATACACTAAATGGAGGATCCTCAGGCCAAGATTTTGATTGTGATTTAGTGCCTTATAGCCAATCAGTTGTGTAGCAATCCTTTCAAATGCCATAGTTCTCAAAGACTGGACAGAGAACTGCTATGTCATCCAAGAGTCTCATTTCAAGACTGTCTCATTTTTCCCAATTTATATTATCTCAGCCTCTATCAATTAACAGATAGGTAGAGTTTTTCTCTTCCAAAGATTGACTCAGAAATTTCCTTTTCCTTTGACAGGCAGGAATATGGCTGGTGTGCTCAGATCCTCTACAAGGAAGAGTGTCATACCACAAATCTGGGTTTAGCACTCTGATGGAGAGTCAAAAACAGTAACTCCCAGGGCACAAAACATAGAACTAGTATGACTTTACTTTCATGAAGCTCAAAAGTTTTGACAGATTAAATTTATAACCAAATGGTTGTGCTGGTTGCTACAATGCCTGTTTAATTTACTCTTGCTCTACTAAGGCTGCAGCTCTGGCCATTCACAGTGCTTTAATTTTATCAAGGATTTGCATCCCATGGCACATTTATGCCTGGCAAGAAAACACAAAACAAGCATATATTTCATAATGTCTTTTCTGATTAGTTCTCCAGTTCTGTGGTCAAAGAACCATGCCTTACACAAAATTAAATTTGTGCTGCTGAATTACCGTTCAGCGCTGAACACGTTGCTATGGCACATTACTAAACAATCCACTTCCCAGTACTTCCTTTATAAATAAAATTACTTTTAAAGGAATTTTTAAGCAGAATGTGGAAAGATACAACTTTCACCATTGTCCTCTTAATTGCCCTTGTGAGGAATTAGAAAAAGAAAACCATACAAGCAATAAATTTGACAACAATATTTTACGTTGCCACTTAAAAATATCAAATTACAATAAATAGTACAAATCTAGTCACTGACCTTACATTTCTGTGGGTTTGCTTGTTCTTTATCCGAGACACAATCTTCAGTGCTTCCCCTCTGATTTCTTTTCTTCTTATTTGCATATCCTGTGCATGATTATGACTGTTCAGGAATGTTGTAAAAACCTATGTCAGTGAAGTTTTATGGTGTAATTAACTTACAAGCATCTCCTATAAATATGTGGGTTATTAACCTCCTTTTCAGACTGTGTATTTTGTCAGTCCTTATTTCACAGAAGTTTTTGAGACAGAAATGAAGCTGAAAAAATCACCTGATAAGAAATATGTTCCTCTTAATACCTATGAGGTTTTCTTTGCTTCTCTGCTTGCAATTTTTGTGTGTGTTTGTGTTGGACTGATTGTACTTTCTTGGTTATCAATCCAGGAGTTGGAACGAGGTAAGTAGCCAATCTTTAGCTAAAGACCTTTAGGAATTCCTTAGTCTTTGAAGACAATGCTCTTACAATTGTAATTTTATGCTTTTAGTGCTTTGCTTTTAATGCTGGGGACAGGGGAAGTGGTGTTTTAGGGTTTGTTATACTTGTTTTCCTCCCCTGAAAATTGATAATAACAAAATAGGGGAAAAAATCAAGGATTGGAATTATACTCTGAAGCTTTATATAAAATAAATATATAAAATAAATATATTAAATAATTTTCATGGTTTAGGCTTTGAGAAAGAAATCTTTGAGAGAAATCTAAGCTATAAAGCTTTGGTTACTCCAACATATTCATCAACTAGGGAAGGAAAGATGGAAAAGTGTGAAATTTTGCATTTTTCTCCATGAATTAGTTTTGAGGCAGAAGACTGAAATACTAATAATCCCCTAGAATCTGTGAGGCCCACCTCTTGGAATCTATTAATTTTTTATTTAAAAAAATATTTTAAAGTCATTTATTGGTGTGAGAGAGCTCCTGCATCAGACAGTCAGCTGCTAGCCCCATGTAAAGCTGAGGTAAAGTCACTCTTAGTCTTTATCCAGTGCTTGGAATGTGATAAAAGAATTTAGTGATACTCAAAGCAGACAAAATTAAAATATCAATATTTCATTATTTTCAATCAGAATTAAAATTTGGGTTAACTGCTAAGGCCATACCTGGAGGAATGCATCCAGTTCAGGGCTCCAAAACACGTGAGGGATAAGGAGCTACTAGAGAGAGTCTCAAAGTGATTTTTATTGCTGAAAAAATATTCTGCTACATTGATGATTTTGCTGCTTTCATTAACCAAAAATCCGTGCTGTTTCATTCTGATGACTAAATTTTCATGAAGACTAAACTTTCCATAAGACTTATGTAAAAAAAAACCAAACAACCAAAGCTGTCAGAATATCGTTTGTTCCTTCGGTTGCCACTTTATTTCCAGATTTTAAAAACTGCACCACTTACTGACTTTCTTACCTTCTTACCAGAATGCTGTCATACTCCAGTAAAATAAAAAAGTGTATTATTGCATCTAGAGACAGGCTTTAATTAAATTACTTTGTTTTTTAGAAGATAAATAGGCAAAAATTTATCCCTGCACTAATATTAGTATAAAATATTTTTAATTTTAGTTGATATATAATTTAAAAAGGCTTTTGCTGTTTAGAAATGTTGTTTAAACAGATTTGCAATTTTTTTAAAGGCAAGCCTTCAAAGAAGCTCAAAGCAGTCTGCTATTACTAGTTGATATTAAATTGGTCTCACTATACTGTGCCTTCCATCATAAACTGTTCATTGTAGTATTTATTGCTAATCTGCTCTTACGATTCAGTTATTAAAATTATTAGAAATGCCTCTGCCCAAATTAAGGTGCAAATGAGACCATATGCCAAAGTCAATAGCGTGGATTTTACTTAACAGTAAACAAGAGAGAGAGAGAGAAAATGATGAAATAGCAAAGAGGGGCTTGGACAGGAGGGTAAAATGGAGACAGATAAAGTAGAAAATGTCAACATTCAATGGATCCTGATGGCATCCTGTTGATCTTCGTAGTGGTGAGGGTTTCTTGAAAAGCATGGAATCCAATGGATTAATATACAATTGGGCCAGGTGGGAATGTCCAGGTTCCTCTTAGGAGATGTCTTCAGGAAGGAGAGGGCTTTGGTGGTCACAGTTTCTTTATGCAGTTTTGCCATAATGGGAAAAATTCCTTCATAACAATGTTTAAGCCATGAACTATAATATTTCAGTCTCTGACATCTGTTTTTTTCTTAAAACTTGCTTTGAGGTTAATGCTTTCAAACACAACCTAAAATACCACTAGTACTGCAATGGGCAAGCAAAAGGCATTTCCAATCAATCAACTTTAATTCAGGTATTTTCAAGGAATTTCGAGTGTGTTACACAGTGAAGAAATATGTTTTTAATGTATAATGAATTACCTTATGTATACCTCATGTTCTGTAGCATATTAAAATCAAGATTAAATTTGCAGCAATGACCAGTTCTCTAAATTCTAAATTCTCCCAGAATTTCAGGTATGTATTGGTGAGAAAGGTCAGGTAAAAAATAGTTTAACCCTTCTGACACTGGATGTTTCCAGTGCTGTCATCAAAATAAGCTTACATATATTTAAAAAGGCTCAGCACAAATACAGAAACTGTGAGGCAATAATTCATAATATCTTTTTATCCAGAACATACAAAATACTCATAATTCACTATTTGCCTTCCCGTGTATCTCTGTCCCATGTTAGACATAACGGGACATATCATTGTACCCTTTATGCACTCACAGTGTTGTTGGAAAACAGCATCTAAAACAAAATTAAATGTAATGAGAACTAAGGGCAAAGAGTATTATTAAAAATATGATTACAGTTGTAACTATTGTAAACATCAAAAAATAACTATTTTTTTCTTTAAACTCAAGACTAGGCAGAACACCTCTGATTGCAAAGTTATTTAAAAAAAAAAACTTAGTTATTGTATTGATGATCTGCGTGAAATAAAATCTAATGTAATATTTTTCATTTATTTCTATATAATTAAAACACTTTTATTTTTATTTATCTAGCTGAAGCAGATGTGAATACTCATGGCTATATGGGAATATTTAAAATAGTCTCTGGCACATCTTTCACTCCAGACTTACAAAACAGTTCATCATCTGATTTCAAAGTCCTTGCCTTTGATGTTGAAAAACTGGTAAGAACCTATCAGCTTGTGGTTAATTCAAGAGTATTTGTAGGTACATTAATTCCATAACATTAACTGCTGTTGATGGATTTTTCTTTCAAAAAAAAAAAAGATATTTCAGGTCTTAAGCCTGGTCAGAACTCAATATATTCCTTATTTGAGAAAATCAGTGAATCTTCAAAGAAACACTTTGCTTATATAGTCTAGAAAAATATTATTTCATACTAAAACCATGAGTATAGTATAAGAATGTGTGTATTTTTAATTATTGTGTGGATTCATTTCTCAAATTTTTCAAATATTTCTCTTTTTCATATAGATACAAAATATCTTTCACGAAAGTGATCTGAAACACAAATTTGGGCGATGTGAAATTTCCCAGTTCACGTAGGTACAGCTTAATTTAACTTTGAAAACAAATGTCAAAAGTCCTCACTTTGATATTTGTCTCAGAAGTAATCAACCTTGATTTTCAAGACATCCTTGGGAACCTCTTTTATTATGCCTTCCACATCTTCCAAGTGCTACTGTGCTCAGTTTGACACCAGTGTGTTTCCTTGGACAAATTTCCTCCTCAAACTGACGTGTCCATGCCTTGACCAAACCAGTAAGGCTGAGCCCTAAGACCCACTCACAAAAATTCTGTATTTTAAGGAACTAAAAAGTACTTTTTTTGCCAAGGTTTGCAGGGTTACCAATCTTTGTCATCTAGAAGAAATTTCAGGTTAGAGATCTCCTGGCATAAGCCTGGAGGCTCAGGTACTTCCATGTCCCTATGGATATGGATATGGATATGGATATATGGATCCACTTAATTCACATCCTTAGGGCATTAGCAAGTGAGGCTGCCATTTAACACCAGCAAAAGCTGTAGCCTCTGTGTCCTCAAGATTCCATAAAATTGGTACAGTAAGATCTGCTTCATTTAGTAAAGCTTGTTTGACCTCATTTTCAATATCCTGGGGTTCTCCTACTGAAGGCCAGCTGACAAAAATGTCCACGTTACACAACCAGGTCCATCAGCACTATTCTTAATGAGGTCCTGATTCAGCAAAACACTCTCTCTCATTATTAAACAGTTCCAGGACCCTCCTGTCCAAAACATTTTAACTCAATGGGAACCATGTGGTGTTGGTTGTGGTTTTCCTGGGTTGTTTTGGGTTTGGGGTTTTTTTTTGGATTTTTTGTTATTGTTGATTTTTTTTTTTAATTACAGGAAATCTGAAGATGACAGTGACAGATTGACAACAGAGACTGGGTAATTGTTTATAAAAAAGTTTACTTAAAATACAGGCAAGAGACAATGATGCTACTAATTCAAACAGTTCTTCTCAGGACTGTGAATAGATAAAAACCAAACCAAAACAAAAACCCCAAACATTTTTAGAATTTGGATAAGGCCCTCTAAACAGAATGAAGCTTCAAGATATATATTTTCTCTAAAAACTGCCTTTAGGATTAGATGAAGAAAAATAAAAGATAGTCCCTGGTAATGTCAATTTAGAAAGAAAAATGGGAAAGTGAGAAAGGTAAGAAACTATCTAGAAAGGAACAGATACAGGTTTGTGCTGAGTTTACTTGTGTAAAACTGCTTCAGCTGGGGTCAGATCTCATCTCATTGCCAGAAACTCATGTTTTAAATCAAGAAAAGTCTGATGACACACTGTCATAGGCAAGAACACAGAGGGCAAAAAGATTAAGACTCTAGAAGAACTAGAAGAACCCCGAGAAAGGAATGTTGTAATTGGCTGTCTCATAGGTGAGCCCAGAAAATTAAAGTACACATTCATGGAAACAGATCAATAGTTCTGTGCTACCACATGTTCTTGTGATATCAATGTAAATACATAAAGTCAATAAATATGCAAATATTTTCTTTGCAATAGTTTCTTTGAATGATTGCCCTTGGGGAAAAAAAAAAAAAAAAGCCACAACAAGATATTGGGATATTAGCTTGCCATAAATATCAGTAAGTAATGGGAAATAGATTTGAATTGAAGCAATCTTTTGATTGGAACAGTGAGGACATAGTCCTGATTACTTAGAAAGCAGAGTATGATCACTTTATGGAGGATTACATAATGTTAAGGGAATGGACTACACAGCAGCAGGCACAGGCCACTTCCAAAATGTTGTCCTTGTGAAGGTAGAACCAGTCAAAAAGTTTGGTTTTTAAACAAAGAAAGAGACTATTCCCATCAAAATTTGGGCATTAAAAATGGAGACATCTCTGGGTGGTTTGCTCAAGATTGTCTGTCAATGCTGGCTTTTAGTTTTCTCATCTGGCCAATTTAGATGCCTTTTTTTAGGAGAAGAGCAATTATACCAAGAACAGCTTGTCTTTTTCTATCAGCCACGATGGGAATCTAGACTTCTGCACTGTAAATAACTGGGTTGGGCAAAACTCATTCCACACAACAATCACAGAAATCACAGAAGGTCTGGTGTTTGTGAAGTTGGATCTGACTTCTAAGACATCAGTGAGGATTTGTCTTCACTTCTATTTTAAATAACTTTGTCTCAGACATTACTTTTTTTTAATTTAAAAAGTATTTACCCCTTCAGGCAATCTGCTTGGTATTTCACCCTTGAAACGCTGCAGCTGAGTCACAAGGAGAGCAATAAAAACTTTTGTTTGCTCAGCAAGGCCCAGAGGTTATCAGAAATATGCAAGGAGATTTTTTCTCCATAATGCAAACTACAAACTGTACTCAGCAAAACATCAGGATTAATCACTCCTTACGAAGAGCACAACTGAGTCAGTTGCAAATGAATAGTTTAAGGATAAAAAAGTTTGCACCTAAATTTAAGTGAAAGGAGAAAACCTTTATCTTTGGCAAGTCCTATACTTCAGTATTACCTTAGTCTAGCAACAAACATAAAACTTCATAATAGTGTCTAGAAGAAATGGGAGAGAGTAAACAGAAAACACTCTGGATAAAGTTCATAGAAGTTAAATGCAGTTTAACCACAATTTCTAAATGTCTCTATTTTCAGCCATCACTGTTTCCTTGTGAGAATCCAGGCAATCAAATAGCAGATCTGCAAAAACACAAAATCCACAGATAGTATTTGCTTTATAGAAGTGGCCACTTTTTATTATATTTTGCCACGTGAAAGTATTATAAAATTTGCATAATACTTCAGGGTTCACCTTGAATATTTTAGGGCTATAAGTAATAGTCCTGTTTAAAAACAATAAAGCTACTTCTTTAGTTTTCCCCAAGTTCAGCTCCATTGCAGCAATTGAAATGAATGTTGTCTTCTTATATTTTTTTTCCCAACAGTGCAAGAGTAGGTAAAGAAAAAACAAAGTTTCTGCAAGGTTCAAACTGACCTGATGACTAAGAGATGTTTCTTTTTGTCACTTTTGCCAGCCAATATTTAAAAAACAATCTGCCTTTGCCAGTGGAACCAGTGTTAGAATGAAATATTGTCTAGATGATAAGTCATGTAGCAGATTTATTTCATCAACTTGAATAACTAACTTCTCTGTTTTGTATTGCTAGTGTGGTTGTGATCCTCACCCTTTATTTTACCCAGATGGTAACAACTGAGAAAGTGAAAAATGAGCTGGTTTTGGGCGTCATTGCAAATAACCCTAATCCTTCCAAGACTTTGAAAATTGATGTGAACAGCATACAGGTCACAGATAATATCAGTAAGTTGTTTTGTTTGAGTTTTTTGTTGTTTTTTGAATCCTTAGGAACTACAGGTAGCAGGAATGAAATCCTTGGCTCCCAGACAGCAATTGGATTGTTACTTTTTCTCTCGGGTGCCCTGCCACCCCCACATTACATAACTTTCAGTAGCAGCTGAAAGAATAATTTACAACCTTTTCTACTAGAAAGTGTGAGCCAGCTTTGTGTACATTCCCTAAGCAGGGAGTAAAGGGCAAAGCAAAAACCACTCAATTTCACCTCTTATGAAGCATAATATTTGTAAACTTTTAGCCTGCTAATTAAAGCAATTAAGCACCAACCATGTTGTTTCATAAGTAAATACAAGTTACAATTTTGTTCCGCTAAAGAATGAGAAAAGGCTCATATTTGCAGTGTGTAAAGACTCATTTACTGAAAATATGTCAGGAAGAAAAACAAACTGCTTTGGGGGAAGTGCATCCAGGGAACTGGGTCCATATTCCTGTAGAGTTTAGTAAATATAACTGGGGGGAAAAGGAACAGGGCTTTAAAGCCCTGTATATTCTGCAAATTTACAGATATTTCATGTAGGTACTGGAAAATTTATCAAAGCCTAAATGGAAGCCCTTCAAGATCAATGGGAATCCCCTTTTTTTTTTTACCTGAATAATACTTCAAAACAGCCCTTCACTGAGGATGAGGTTAAAAAAAAATCTGAATTCTTTGAAGTAGAAGTTGATTAGCTGACATTTGAAGACCTGCTGGAGTTGCTATTAAGTAGAAACTGAGGAGTGGGAATCTGGTGTGCCATGTCTCTTCCTCTATACTAAAAGCTGCATTTTTTGCTAAGCACTTCAAGTATTCAAAGGCAAAATTCAGAGTCTAGGCGTATTTAGTTCTCTTTACTAGTTATTTATTCCAAATTATTGCACAACCCTGTGGAAATTGATTGCTCATTATATTTCAAAAATGCCACCAAAAAGTAATGAAGAGCCTCTTAAAAGGTTCATCCATTGATGAACTTTGAAGTAGTCAAAATTTTACTGCTGTGGATCATTAAAATGCCTCTTTTCATGTGTCCATTCCACCACGAGTGCCTCAAAAAAATTTGACTAATTAACAATCACAGTCATATGTGACACTTTTGCATCATGTATATCAATATGTTCTGCCAGAGACATTCCTATTTCAGAGAGGGAGAGGGGTGTCACACAGGTGTGGCTTGCTTGAGATGATGTTCATGGTGATTAAAAGTAACTTTTTTCTTGTAAACCATCTCGGGTTAATTTTAACTCATTCACCTCATCTAAAAACTGTTCTCTAAGACACAGGTGCTCTGAAAATCTCTATAGAATAAAAAACCTCAAGAGAGATTTCCCAAGTGAAGACATTTTATATGCAATACAATCAGTAGGGATTGAGGATTGAAAAGAACTGTGGTGGCTTTGAAACCTCATAACTTCAACTCATTTTTGGGATCTTTCCTCCTTAGGAAGATCATGGGGCTTGAGAAAAGATTGGGAACAGGATGAGGCAAGCAGGACACTGACAGTAATTCAATGAGAAATAGTCACAGTTGATTTCTTTTTAATCTCTATTTCTGTCACCTAAAAGTAGACACTGTGAAATAAAAGAAGTTTACAATGAACTTGCTTTCTTCCAGTAGCTACTGAAAATCCTACTACAGTGATGCCTTTAACCTCTTCAGGTCAGTATCTTTCACAAAACAGGCACTGATTTTTGTTACCAATACAAGATGAAAGAAAATAAAACTTGCTGTCCAGCCCACATAGCTTAGTAAAGCTGCCCTGGCTGCAGCTGGGGCTTGACTGCCATGGTCAGTGATAATTAGCTGCTTTCACCATTTCTGACTGTTTGAGAAAGCAGTGAGTGATCTGAAGTCTGTACAAAATCCATAGGAGCTTAATTTGGGTATCAGGCCGAAAGCTGAGTCTCAATTAACAGCCGAGCTGCAAGCTGAAGTTTTTCAGATTTAGGGAGGTAGATCAGGTTGGGAAGTCCTGCTCTCATGTTGTGGTTATTGATTTACTAAGCAATGTTGACAGAACAGATTTTCCTTCCATTATCCCTGGAAGTTTTACAATGAAAAGACATGAAGCACACAAAACTCCTTGGTCTCACAAGCCTGCCAAGAGTCAGCCAGAGAGATAAACAATGCAATAAATGCTTTATGGGACTAGGTGCAGGTAGTCACACACAAACTGCATGCAAATTATCACATGCAAACTCTCCAGGGCAGGGTACCAGACCAGAGGCTAAACAACTGCCTCTATAAATATAGGAGATAAATATTTATTGATATTCTAATTACAGCCATAGTAATGAAAGAGTTATTATTAATCTGGTTACAGGCCTACTAGCATGTATAGTCCAAAGTGTGCAAGTACTATAGTCTATTCCCAAAGATACAGTTTAAACTACTAACATCCAGATTTTTCCCCTATCTGTCCCTTCCTCTGGTACTCTGTCTTGATGCTCCCCTGGTCCTAAGTTCAATGTTGCTAATCATCCTCAAGCAAAAATTTGGAGATTGAGGGAAGTTCATAAGGAAAGGGGAAGGGAGTTGGGAATTGTCAGCACTCAAGGTTGGAATGGCAACAATATTCCTGGTGTGAATTTTTTGTCCCTTAGCCTTGAGTCTCCTTGAGGTAATTTTTGTATTTTTGTTAATATTGTCTAGTTCCTTCTTCTTTCTGTTTCAGTCCAAATGTCACGATATACCCACTTTTTACCATACATTTACACCTGCAGGATGCAGGGTTATGGCTCTGCTAACCCTAAAAACATCCTTTGCCATCTCAACCTGTTACTTTAGTGAGATTTGCTAGTAATTGTGCTTATATCACTGCTGCTTCTGTCACTGTCCTGTGTTTTCTTTTAGGGATTTTTCTGTCAAATTATGCATGCACTTTTGGGAATGTCTGTAGCAACCATAATTTTTCAACAGTCTTCAAGATGTAGCTCCCTAATAACTCTTCTTTTAGAACTGTTTGCTCCTGTATGCATCCATGTTTTATGTCTTGAAACGTTTAATTCCTTCCAAATTGGTTATCCTGTAGTCAATATATAGACAGATATGTTGGCACATATATATATATGTGTGAGCATGTGTGTATAACTCTTTGAAAACCTTTGATGGAATTAATTAAGCTTTTTTTCTCTTCAATAGCTGTGAGAACAGTCCATTTATTCCCTGTTCTTATCTCTGCCAAAGAAACTGTGTCCCTAAATTTGCTGTTACAAACCTCAATAGCCTAGTTTAGCTTAATAATATTTGCTAAATAAGCATGTTTTGATCAAAATTTGGCAGGAAATCCTCTTGCAAATTTGTGCACTAGGTCTGGGAGAGCAGTAATATCTAACAAAAGTAAATTGATGATGGCCAGTGGTCAGCAACTTCTGCCCACAAAACTTGGATGGGTGACTATAGAGAAAGCCTTACTGCATCTTCCACTTTATTCCTTCAGGCCCTTCATCTTATAAACTGAGGTATAGGATCCAGTACCTGCAGTGACACAGAGATTGTTTTCAGCTGAAGACATCATCATCCTACTCACATATTTGAGCCTTAATTTAGAAAGTAAAAATAGTAAACAGGAATGCTAAAGCAAATTCAGGGAGGAAAAGAAAAAAGGCTGTGTGGGAGCTGGAAATGCCAGGTGAATCCTCAGTGAAGTGGAATTTCTGTTGGAACAATCACAAATACACATTCCATTTTTCCAGAATGATTTGTAGTTTACAATCACTAATACAAATCGGCTTATTTACCTAGGCATTTAATCATGTGTAAATATGTACACATACAAGTATGTATATATACATCTGTATGTAAATAGACAAATACTAGATAGGTTTGAGGCACCTAATTGATTTGTAGAGCAATGCTATTTGTCAGAAAATGTACATTTACCTTTTAGTGCTAATGCTGAAGTTGTCATAACTCTTCTTGTTTCAACAGGTCCCGCGAGTTTAATTACAAGTTCCCTGACACCAACTTCAGGTCAGAACTTTTACAGGGGAAGACAAAAAAGCATTGCTCCTATTTAGTGGGGGGAAAGTGGAAGGAGGAAATAAATATTTTTAATTTATTGAAATACTTGGGTTTTCACATAATTTTTTCTTATATTTATTGTGACACTTGAGCTTCAGGACCAAGCCACTCAAGGTGGCACTGCCATATCATTACTGGGAGTGTAGGAAGCAAATAATACAGATATAAAAGCAGATTAACTGCTGCTTAATTCTGCCCAAGCAACCACAGAGGTGCTCCCACAGAGCAAGAAGTAGAGTTTTAACTCTGAGTTTTGTTTGTGCAGGTTCAGGACTATTCACCACAAGCAAGTCCTCAACAACAGTGGGTGAGTAACTCTGTGTGTGTGGAGGAGCAGGGAGGTTACGTAGAACAATCCGAGAATGCAAAATTGCACTGTTCATGTACAGCCTCTCCTCACAGCAGTCAATCCTTGTATTCCATTCTTGAAAATTCAGGATATGCAGGTTTACCCTAGACCAAGGAGATCTCTTTAAAGAGAAGGGACTTCTAAGACTGTACATGCTGCAAAAATGTTACATGTCTTGTGCATGTTGATGCACATATTGACACTAATACTAGCTGCTCCTTTTTTTTTTCATGTTATTTATTGATTTTTATGAGGAAAATAAAGTAAAATAAGCAAATTATTACTAAGTATGACTTCCAATGGACAGAAAGCTGAAGATGTTTGAATCTTTGAAAACATTCCCCAGCCTTCTTACATGGTGAAATATGGATGATATCTACAAGTAATCTAATATTTTCAAGTCTTATGTGTTTGTTGCCCTTATTTAATTGAATATAACACTTGCAGCACAATTTGGGGTCATTTGCCATTTAAAAGAGAAGTCAGAATGTTTTAGTAGGAGAAGTTAATTTCTTTCAATCCAGGAGGTGGCAGTGCTGTTTAGTTTTCTGAGTTGAATTACCGAGAATTCATCACGTTGTATGTAAACAATGATTTCTGGCCTCATGGGCTTGTGCAAAATCTCTTCCTAGGTTATTGGTTGGAATTTTTGTTCTGGGTCTAGAATGCACAGTTTTGAGTCTCTGCTCATCTGTGGAAATTCATTCACTGGCCTTGTGTCACCTCCAACACTTTACTTTGGAGTATGTTTGGTTCATTTTAACTTCCAGTTGGATGCAAAATGGCAAATTTTGGCTTTGTAACATTTGCTCTGCCAGCACTGAGAGTATTTTGTAAAGCACTTTGAAATGCGACAATACACCCATACCAATGCCAGTCTAGGACACACAATGCAATATCATACTTAATCTGATTATAGAATACCTCTCTGAAAAAAGAAAATGAAAAAGAAAAAAATTTATAGATTACTATTTTTCCTTCTTGCATCAGAAATGATGACCTTTTTCTGTAAGCATTTATTGAAGTAGAGATAAGGAACTTTGTGAATAGTTCTATAGAATTTAATGCAATTTTAAGAATTTTGAAATTGTTTATTTTAACTACATGTTTCTTTTCACTTTAATTAAAGGACCTACTTGAATTCTAAAGATGTCTAAGACCAAAACCCTCTAAAGACTAAAAGAGTTTGTTTGAGTAGATGAACATTTATGCTCAAGGAAAAGATTATTAGTAAGATCTACCATTTCAAGGATCTTCCCATGTATTCTTCTAACAGAAATTTACTCTTAACTTACACATTTGATTTGTAAATCTGAAAAGAATATGGTTTCTGATAATTCTGGTGTTTCAGAATCTAGTCTTAAAGGCTCTTTTTTTAGGGATATGCTGGTTAAAAAATCAGATTCCTCAGCATGATGACATGCAACAGTGTGATGTGTTAAAGTTGAAGAAATAAATTAAATTGTATTTACCTAAACCCAGAAATTTTTTTCACTGTTATTTAAACCAAAGTACAATTTTCTCCCATTATTTGATCATAAGAAATTGGAACATGTCAATTATAATATTGCGTAGAGTAGTTTGTGTAAAGGCAAAAAATAAAAGGAATTCACAGACATTTTCTTTCAGTCTTACTTCAAGCTTAGTTTCAAAAAATATTTCACTTCTGAGAACTCTCTCTATTCTGTGCCAAATTTATCTTTTTAGTATGTGATATTTCATTCCAAGCTTCTAAAAATGCAGTTTTGTAAAACACAGTAGAGTGGTTGATTTGATTTGTGGTAAAGCAACCAGAGGTAAGTCAATTTTCCTTTGTAGTGAGACTACATTACTGTTTGTGCTGTTATTGCTCTCATCTTTATTATTCCAGCTGAATGTTTGCCACCTGCTGAACTCTGTGCTGATGGTGTAACCTGCATTAACCAAGATTTCTTTTGTGATGGAGTCTTGAACTGCCCAGATGGTTCAGATGAATCTGAAAAAAGATGTGGTAAGAATGTAAACTCCTGTAAATCAGTCTTTTTAAACAGGCTTAACACTGTCAGTAGTTTGTAAATAGTTTATGGGTAATAAACTGCACAGTTGAAGTCCAAATCAATTCTACTAAAAATAATAAGAAGAGTGATTTTTATAATCTTTATCTTGCAAGAGGAAACAATGTTCTGTAAAATTCTCATGAGTTAAGAATATGCTTAATAAATAATGAAATATTAGAGTCTTTCTGTTTTAATATAAAGTTGCATAATTTTTGTCTTACTATAGAAATATTAATGACATAAATAATATGTAAATTACAAAATAATATAGAAATTTCATATGAAGATTTGCATCAGTAATATCAAACAATGTTCAGACCAGTTGACCTCCACAGGTCCCATTCAACCTCAGCCCATCTATGATTCTATGGAACCCCACTGGAGTTTAGCATAAAGAGATTTTATCCTGCAGTGCAAGTCAGTTTGTTTACCATTGTCTTGTCTTTGAGTACTGTGTCCATTTCTGGGCCCCTCACTACAAGAAGGACATTGAGGGGCTGGAGAGGGTCCAGAGAAGGGCAACGAAATTGGAGAACAAGCCATGTGAGGAGCTGGGCGGCCTCAGCATGGAAAAAAGGATGCTCAGAGTCACCTTGTCACCCTGCACCACTCCCTGACAGCAGGGTGGAGCCAGGTGCAGGCTGGGCTCTTCTCTCAGGCAGCCAGTGACAGAACGAGAGAAAAGGGACTCAAACTGTGCCAGGGGACGTTCAGGTTGGACATCAGGAAGAATTTATTCACAGAAATGCTTGCCTAGCATTGGAATGGGCTGCCCAGGGAGGTGGTGGGGTCACCATCCTTGGAGGTGCTTGAGAAACGACTGGTCATGGTCTGGTTGGCAAGGCTGAATTCAGTCACCTTGGAGGTCTTTAATAACCTAAGTGATGCTACTCTGTGATTCCATCTGACTTCCTGATTTCCCCAAGACTCTTTCTGTACCAAGGGGTTTGACTGCAGTGCTCCTTGCCAGACTCCTCTGCAGTTTTGCTGGGGAGGCACCCAGGTTAATGCAGCCTGCATTGCTCTCCACAGCCTCAGCTCTCAGCTAAAAGTCTGTCAAGTTGTCTTGCAAAGAGAACATTGCAAACGTTTTAGGAGTAATGGGAGCAATTACCTCTCTGAGTGTTCTGTTTGCTTGCTTGTTTGTTTGTTGGTTTGTTTTTTTAAATATAGAATTTGGTGCTAGAAATATGGAAAGCTTCTTTCTATTCTGCTGTGAGAAGAGGAAAACAGTGAGGGCAGTCTGCTTCAAGCTTTCAGAAACACGTGAAATGATGGGCTCTAAAAACAAACAAGCAAGTAAAAGACCAATTATGTTTTCAAAGAACCTGAAAGCTTGATCCTGAAGGTTTGTGACAGGCTGAACCTCTCTGTCATGTGCAATTTTCTTCAGAAAAAAAGAAAAGGGAATTGCAGATTCCCTGCCCATTACCTACATTTGTTTCTGACTGCAGTCAGCTCAGAAGGGAGACTTGGCTGAACATTTTGGGGAAAATATCCATCAAAATAGTTCAGTAGTATATCCACTGAAGCACATCAAAATGTCTACTTATTATAACAACTGCATCTAGCTAGATCATAATAATTATTGCCTCTGAACTGGTTCTTCAACAATTGAGGAAATCAGAAGGTCCTAAGGTTCAGCTAGGCCTTAGTTCCATGGAAAGCATTAGGTAACCTAACCCCAAGAAGTTATCCAGTCATTCATTTCTATTAACATATTTTTTCTTTTCTTTTCTTTTTTTTTTTTAATTTTATTTTTTGAGACAGCAATCTTATTGAGGATATTTGTTAATTTTTTTTTTGTATTTTTAATTAAGAAAAATGTAGACCCTGATATTCATAAAATAAATGCTTTTCATAAAATGAATGCTTTTTACTTGCCATCATAGAATCACAGAATGGCCTGGGTTGGAAGGGACCTTAAAGATCATCTCATTCCAACCCCCTGCCAGCTACAGGGACACCTTCCTCTAGACCGGGTTGCTCAGAGCCCCATCCAGCCTGGCCTTGAACACTGCCAGGGATGGGATATCCATACAGTCTCTGAGCCACCTGATCCAGAAGTTTTTCCTAATACCTAATCTAAACCTATTCTGTCAATTTGAATCCATTTCCCCTTGTCCTGTCACTCCATACCCTTGTAAATAGACTCTCTCCATCTCTCTTGTAGGGTCCCTTCAGAGGAAGGCCACAATTAGGGCACCCCAAAGCCTTCTTTTCTCCAACTTGAATAATCCCAATTCTCTCAGCCTTTCCTGATAGCAGAAGAGTTCCATTTCCCTCTGATCACCTTGGTGGCCTCCTCTGGACTCACTCCAGCAGGTCAATGCCCTGACTAGGTCTGAATTTACAAGTTCCATCCACATTTTATTGAAGATATTACATTCATACCTGTTTTATATGACAGAGTTTAATTGATATTATATATTGGCAGATACAGGCAAAAATAAGCTCAAATACTTGAAATTAAAGCTGTGTACACATGACTCAGCTGTGCCTTGGAGGCCACACAGTGTTTTAAGTTATGAATTGTGCTTGAGTAGAGCTTTTCAGCTGAGGCATAAAATCTTATGTACATGGCTTTTGGATGTGATTTGCACATCTCCCCAAATCTCTACGAAATATAATCTGTGAATGTTTTCCCCTTTGTTACTCAGGATGTTATTCCTCATTTGAGCACAACTGAGCTGAAAATTTCAGGAATGTGCATACGTAGTAAAGGTAGTAAATAAAATAAGTACAAATAATAAAAGTAATGAAAGCAAAAATAAAAGCATTAAATAAATATTAATAAGAGTAAAAATAGACAGTGTCATAGGGAAAACAGCTGTAGTTACAGTCCAGAGAGCTGGGTGATTTGTCCCTGTTCCCTGATGCCTGGTATTTCCAACCAATTTGGTCAGTTACCCCTAGTGCAGCATTTTTGGCTCATAACCTTAGAGAAGTACAGTTCTGGCTGAAGGACAAATTGTTGATCCATGTTTCTTATATTACATTTTCAGTCTTTTCTATCTGAAACCTCAGAGCTTCTCTAATTTTATGTATGTAAGTTTCTTAGCAGATTTTATAAAACCAGTGGAATGAGAGGTAAGAAGCTGGATGCACCTTTGGGTACCTGCTAATTTTTCCACCTCTTTAATATTTCACATTTGTCCCATTCCTACAGAAACTCAATATGGTCACATGAAAGCTAAAATGGTTTAGTTTTTCAGAAGTTCTTTAGAGTTTCACAATGAGATTCATGACCAGTTCGTAATTCATGCTACAAGTGCTCCTGCACACAAAAGATTTGCTGTCCTCTAAAAAACTTGGTTTGTCTTTCATCTTGATTATTATTCCCTCTAATATTTCTGAGTTCATAATGTCAATGGTCTAGAAACAAAAGATTAAAAAGTGAATTTTACTCTCTCTTTCCTGCATTAGAGAGAATTCAGTAAAATCTCAGATTCTCAAAAGAGATTCAGACAACCAAACACCCTTTTTGTTGTTTGTTTTATTGATTAAAATTATCTTGAAAGGTTTCCTTCTGGCTCTGCAATGCAGTGCAGTAACAAAAGGCTTCACAAAAGTAAAACTAGCAATTTCAGTGAAAGGGTCTCTAGAGAAATATGAAGCCTGAACAGCAGCTACTAATAATGACTGGCATTGCTGTAAAGCAGCCATGTAGCTCGTAGGGTACAGAAAGGGAGACTGGAGGCTGATCCCAGGAGGGGCTTGTGCAGACTCTTTGCAGTTATTACATGTCTAGACTATCATCTTGTGATTACTCACCTCACAGCATCACTACAGCACCGAGAGAGATTAATCAGAAAGTAATGAACTGGCCTTTGGCAGAGAAAGGTCCTGTCAAGTGAAATATGTGGATTTGATTTGACCAGTTTGGGGAGCTTCTCCTTCATTTTTAAGGCTAACAGGATAAAGTGTCATGTATGGAACAATAGTAAATAGAAGTGGGCAGCAAGGTACATGTTGGGGAAAGAGAGGAAGTGGTTCCTACAAAGGAAATCTCCTATCTCCTTAGGAGAGCTGCAGCTTTTCTTTGGGCTCCAGGAAGAGGCAAAATGGAAAAACTTCCATGCCCCTGCCCATCTTTGACCACAGCTGATTTCTCCCTGCAAGGAGAAAGCACTGGCAGGTTCTCTAGGGAGAGATCAGTCCCTGATCTCTTCCTGCTCATTCCTGACACAAAAAGCACTGGCTGTTGCTAGACTGTGGATGATACCTAAGGACCTTTCCCAGAGTCTTGTTTTCCTGTTAGAATTTACTCACTGTCTCTTAAGAGATAAGGAACAAATATAAGAGAACAATAAGATTAGAATAATCATAATAATAGGGGACTGGAGCATCTCTCTTATGAGGAAAGGCTGGGGGAGCTGGGGCTGTTCAGCCTCAAGGAGAAACAACTGAGAGGGAACCTCATCAATGTCTGTCAGTGCCTGCAGGGAGGGGTCAGAGCATGGACCAGGCTCTGCTCAGGGGTGTCAGCAATGGGACAAGAGGCAAGGGGCAGGAACTGATGCCCAGGAAGTTCCACCTGTACAGAAGGAAGAATTTATTCCCTGTGCAGTGACCAAGAACAGATCACCCAGAGGGTGTGGGGTCCCTCTCACTGGAGATATTCCAGAACCATCTGGATGTAATCCTGTGCCATGTGTCCTGGGATGATCCTGCTTGAGCAGGGAGGTTGGACTCACTGTGGTCTCTTCCAATCTGACCCATTCTGTGATTCTAACAGAAATGAATGAGCAAACACTTGTCATTTATTTTATTAGAACAGTATGCTTATATTTTTTATTATTGTTTATACTATAAAATTCCTTTTAGATCAGATTATAACTGTACCACTTTTTTGTAATATTCATTGATAACAAGCTGGGTACTTTCCTTCTTCACACACTGATTTTCTTACTGGTAGGGACAGGAAATATGTGAATTAAAGTGGAGACAAAAAGTACTTCTATCATAATACCCAGCTCTAATGCTAATATAGAATAATAACTATCATTCATGGAGCTTTTCTCTCTATGTATTTAAAATCTATGTGCTCTGTTTTATTCTCAAAGATTGCAAAAGGGAATATGTTTCTATTTCAGTTTATGCATAAGGCGTGTTGGCAAAGCTCATTCTGCAGTCTTTATGTATGGTGTATGGCTGCCTGAAACAGAACTTAATTTTTATTTTGTGTTTGCTAAAGTGATAGGTAGAAAGAATTTTATACTTATAAAATGAACACACAAGGAGCTCCAATCTATTCTTGTATATATCATTTCCCAGGGGAGGATTATGCTCAATAAAATTTCCATTTCATTTTAATATGATTGGTTATTCGTAATTTGGACCATCATTATAAGTATGATTTCATTTCTGAAATTGAAAGCTCTGTATAATTTCTGATCATCTGCCTCAAATCGATGAACTTGTCCTTACCTCTCCAGATAATAATTTGTGGTACTGATTTTATCCTTATGTTAAAGCTCTATGATATTTTTGAACAACTGAAGAGAAAACATCACTAGATAGATTCCTAACAAAATGTTCAAAAGATGAAGCAAAACCTTCAGCAGTTCTTCCGTGTTGCTGAAATAAAACAATCTCTACATGAATTATCATTTCCAATCTTGCTGAGGCTTAAAGCACTTTTCTTTCTTTCCCTTTTTTTTAAAGTGAAGAACTTTCATAGAATGGAATACCAACACCAAGGAAACAAAACTAATAAAAGGCCTTTGAAAAAAAATAGATGATGATAAATGACACTTACCTCAGCTGAATGAATTCAATAGCTGGCAGGAAACTTGGGAGATCCACTTATCTCTTTGAGCACTCAGTAATATATAGGACGAGGAACTAGGAAGCTCATAAAAGTAGAGATAACAATAGTCAACCATTTCCCCTTTTGCTTTTATTCACATGATATTAAATTGTCTCTGGTAGTACAAACACAGTTTTCTGATTTAAAGTAGTTGTAGATAAGAACTGGCAAGGCAAGATCCTGTTTCCTTGTAAAAGTATAGAGTAAAATGGAAGAAATAATTGAATTAGCTAAATCTTGTTGCTGGTTTTGAATTATTTGGATTGGTTTAGACTAGTTTGGATTAGTTGGATTGTGTCTAATTTGAAAGTGAATTTTCTGTACTTTCTGTACTTTTCTTTTCATATGGTACGTTGAGATCAAACAGTGATAACAATTAGAAATGGGAATAAGTTGAAGTGTATTTTATTTTGTTTTCCTATTGTTGCTTACAAAGCAGTTCCAAGGTAATCCATGTAAACCAATATCCATGGTCACCCACATTTTGGCTCTGATTCTGTTTTTCAAATGTCATTCTGGCAAATGTTCTTCATTATATCTTTACAGCTGCAGTTTGTGATGGAAAATTCATGTTGACTGGTTCCTCTGGGTTTTTTCACTCTATGAATTATCCAAACCCATATAATGAAAACATTGCCTGCCAATGGATAATAGTGTAAGCCATTTTCCAATAATTTTATATGTAGCATTTTTTTGATTATGAGGTGATCTTGTTTCCTGCACAAAAGTCTTATGCCATTTGCTTTTATTCCCAAATACACCAGCTCAGAAAAAATGTAATACTATTTTCTCCTTTGTATTTATGTAATTTTTCTTTGAAATCCTTCATGAATAAGCTCCATAACTATATCAATAATTTTTCCACTTAGAAAAGTTCTTAGGTACAATTTTGGGAAATCTTGTGTGTTATATACATGCAGAGGAACATAAGTGTAAGTTCAAAATAAATCACATAACTCAATTAAATAATTGCAAGATTTTTTTTATTTTTTTTTCAAAGGATTATATTAAATAGCAGTCTTCAGGTAATGACTTCATGTGATATAACTCTTACTTACTAGAAAGAAATTTCAATAATTCCATTGTCACTTAGGTGTAAAGGTTTCATGTCTTGAGTACTTGCATACCTTTGTAATTTGGGGCTATGTTTTAGAATTACATGGTTATAGTTTAATATAATAGCACCAAATGTGGTGGATTTTTTTGTTGTTGTTTTTGTTTTGTTTTGTTTTGTTTTTTGTTTAATCAAGGGTGTATACCTACAGACAGGAACAACTGTTCAATTTTCACTCTCTAGGTCCAGTTCTTAGGCCAGGGAGAATAAAAGATAGCCACACTAAAATCTCATAATAGTGCAATTGCCATAAATCTCATCCAAAAAGTATGAATCTAAAAAACTTAAATGAGCACAAGTTAGACAATCCTAAAAATTCCTCCTATGACTTCCAATTCAGAATTTACTGCTTTGAAAGGCAGTAATTCTTATTGTGGTACAATTCTGTGTAATCATGCTTGTTCTTTGATTCTGAGAAGTATTAATTTGGCAGAAGATTTCAAAGGAGATTAAGAAATTGCCTTTAAAACTGGAAAGAGTTTGGGCTTCTCTTTCCAATGACTTCTTTGAAAGTACTAGGCTTTGATTTTGTTTAGAACTTTCATCTTCACCTTGAAATTCTGTTTTTCCTTCTGTTTAGTACATTTTTTTCCTTATCATCTTCAGTGGTACTGTATACCAGTAATTATTGACAACACCTGGCTTTAAAATATAGGTGTGTCCCAGGAAAAGAACGAGATTTTTTTTTCCTTCAGAATATGTTTGCCTTGTTCCTCATTTCATGTCATTGCAGAATTTGAGCACAGTAAATAAACAAGGCCCAAGTGCCTTCCTTCCTTCTAAACTGTTCATGTTGCTCCAAGTGCTGCTATAGCTGCAAGAAGCATTGTATTAGGTAGATATCTATATCAGGTATGTAGCTAATAAAAACTTCATTTTGAAAAGAATTATGAGCAATTGCAAATATTACAGTCGAGGTTCTGCAGATATGTGTAATTAAAGATTGAAAAATGACAAAAATAACCATCTGAATTTATTCTCCACTTACCTGCTTTAAAAAAATCTGGCAACACTGAGAGTAAAGTCCTAAGAAATTCAAAGTTGCACTCAGATTTTGTCTTTCTTTCAGAGTTGTTTCCATGAGGAAACCTTTTGGGTTTCCAGCAATCTATGTTTTTTATTACCCTATAAAAACGTGTTAAAAGGCAACCTCTAATACATCTGATATTGGATTATTCTTGTGCCTGCCTTTCTCTAGAAATATTTCCTCATTGCCTTTTGGAAGAGCTTGTACATTTTAATGCCATTTAACTCCAAATGAAGATCCAATCTCCTCTCCTTCTAAAAGAGAAATATGCTCAATATTTCCCTGAAAGTTTAGCTTCCTGCACCTTTCAGCTATATGTTTTAATCTTTTCTAACCAAGACTACTTCTTCCCTCTGGAGAAATATAAAATAACATCAACAACAACAACAACAACAACAACAACAACAAAATTAAAAGGCAAAATATCCAAGTATTTACTTAACATTTCTCTACTAATAATTACTGATAAGCACCAGCAGATTGATGTTGAAAGCTTATTTTCATTTAATCTCTCAATTCCAAAAAAACCCCACCAAAACAAAAAAGCCCCACACATAGTGGTAGCTAAACTGAGAGTGATAGTAGTGTTTTAGAATTTGGGCTACCATATGTGTCTAGTGGAAAGGAAATGGAAGAAAAATTTAACTACAGATTACTCATAGAACATAACCGTAACAAAATAAGGCCAAGGATTTTTAAGCTTTACTTCAAATGACTTCTGTCATTAAACTTTGTGTGATGGTTTGGATTTATAAAAATTTCCCAAAGAGTGAGTTTCAGATCATCAAATCTGCATGCAAATCCTGTTTTTTCTAATAAGAGGCAGTGTTTTGGACTTTGAGAAGAGACATTTTGATATCTTGCTATTCATATTGATATCTTGATACTGTTCCTCTGGCTTTGGGAAGTCTACCTGAGCAGTGAGATATCTAAGAGTAACATGTACGAAAAGGTGATTGCAATTCAATGAGATGCAGAGAACAACAAAAGCCAGCCAAAACCATCCAAAAAAAACCAAACCAAAACAAAACAAACAACAAAAAAAACCCCAACAACAACAAAAAAACAACCCTTCTAGAAAGGATTATCATATTGCAGAGTTCAGAACATTCAGTTTCTAGAATGTACTTAACTCCAGTGCATAAAGGTGTGCACACACTGCTACAAAAGTTGCCAATTCCTTTGGCAATTTTACAAGCTAAAAGTTAGACAAATAGATTGTCTTGATTAATTATCTTGATTAATACAATTTCATGTTGTTTCTGATCTTATCATTCGAGCACTCAGTGACTAAAGTCAAAGAATAGGTTTTCAAGTTTATGTTTCTCTTGTTGCCTTAGAGTGCCTGAAGGATTGTCCATTAAACTGAGCTTCACTTCTTTTGAAACACAACCATATGCAGACATATTGAGTATTTTTGAAGGATTAGGACAAAACAAGATTTTAAGAGGTAAGTTTATTTTTCAGCTGATAATACTTTTCCATTAATAAAAACTAAGTGGTAAAATAAGCATTTTGAGGTATCAAAAGCTGCTCATGTATGTTTAAGAGGAAGACTGGATTTGGGTGAAGTTATCTTCTTATTAATCTCAATATACTTGTCAATATATCTGGTCTAATTTGACCAGATAAAAACCCTTATAAATTATGACATTTCTAATTGTTTTTTAAGATCTTATTTGAAAGATCTTGATAACTTCATCAGCCTCATGGTCTTGTGGGGTCCATGTTTCATTGGAAATACATTGTCAGAAGTTTCTGTAATATCACACACAGTAACATAAAATGAACTGGTGGGAGAAGTGCTATGAAACTTCCTGGAAATCTTTACAAATATGGCATTGTTTTCCTCTTGAAATACTGCTGATACTTTATCTCAATTTCTGTATTCTACTCTAAAAACTGAGATTGAACCCATTTTTCACAAGACTAAGTCTATACAGCTGAATTCCACCAGAGGTGGAAAACATAGATAGACTAAAAGATAGACTATAGGAAGTCAGAAAGATATATTATTATTATTTATCCTTGGTTTTGGAAATAGGTAGAGAATGGGAATGAGAAATGGTAAAAGACTAGCTAATGTCCATACTGGTGGATATGAGAGATGGAATATGCAGAATATTTATATATCAGCCAAACAGCTAAATGCTTCAAGGGTTTGAAGCTATTGTAGCAGGATCACAGTACAACAAGAAAACCATTCCTTAAGAGTCAATAAACTAATCCACTGTGGTTTTGTGACAGCACTGGAAATTTTAATGTGCATGTAATTATTTTCTCTCTGACTGTATGTTTTTGGGGTCTTTTTCAGCTTCTCTGTCAGGGATCAATCTTGAAACAATTTACATATTTTCTCATGAGGCTACAGCACAGTTTACATCTGATTATTCAGAGAATTATAATGGCTTTAATGCAACGTACACTGCATTTAATGCAAGTGAACTAAACAGTAAGTGTTCTCTGTGTGTCTGTGTGCGTGTGTTTGGTGTTTTGTTTCCTTTTTATCCCAAAATTTTGGTGACTTTACATTTTCAGTTTGAGAGATGGAAAGGGAAGCAGCATTTTTTGGTCTCAGTCCAACAACTAAATCCACTTTGAAAAATTTCATATTGTTTTAAAGATCAAATAAATTATTTCAATAAAGCCATACACAGGTTTAAAGGCCTGAATCTAGCAGTGGGATGATGTCTGACAAAACTCATCTGTGTAAATAAAACTCCACACCTCCATCAGATTCCTCTCAGCCAGTTTGTTCGCTAATCAGCACTATGAAATCATTGACCACAATATCTTTATTTTTTAAAAAATAGTTCAGAACAACATTTAGACACAATATTCAGGAAAATACCTGCTTCAGTAAACAGGCCTTGGGAAAAATCTGGATGAGGTGAATCTACAGTAACAAAATGCTGCACTATGACTCATGATTTGGTAATTGGATAAGTGAAGGCTTCTTTAGCTGCTAAATTTGGAGCAGGAGGTGAACGGGGAATGTGGCTGGGATGGGAAGCATCCAGAGGGCAGCAAGTTCTTGTCATGTGGAAGCCTTTCCTGACCTGCATTTCAAGGCACCATAGACAGACACTGAAATATCATGAGAACAAAAGTGATGAGGATGCTGCAGCAAAGCCCTGTGGGCAAAGAAGGAGCAAATGAGGAGGAAGAAGGAAAGGGACATTCCAGGGGCATGGAGCACAGCTCTCTGCTCTAATGGTGAGCCCTTTCTGCTGGAGCAATCCAGGCCTTGGCAAAGAAAAGAGGAAGAGAAGGATCAGAAATGAAGGTTGGTGAATAAGTGAAAGAGTATGTAGGGCTACCCTTCAAAAATAGTGTTTTGTAAACAACTACAAACAACACATTTATTTGAGTAGTTTTGTTGCATTACGTAAAGAGGAAATTAAGTCACTGTGGGCTGGTTTACAAACATATTTTAAAATTTACATTGTTCATCACTCCTTCCTGTGTAATTCTGAGAAAATACTTCCCATCTCTGTCATCTTTTATTTACTAGAAGTTCTTATTCACAGATTATGAGAAGATCAATTGCACTTTTGAAGACAGCTTTTGTTTCTGGATACAAGATTTAGATGATGATTCAGACTGGGAAAGAGTTCAGGGTCCTACCTTTCCCTTGATGACTGGTCCTGAATTTGATCATACATTTGGCAACTTGTCAGGTAAGATCAAAAAAGCAGTTTGAAGATTAAAGGAAAACTTGATTTAGCTTGTATCACTGCATTATGGATTCTTCATAGTAGTATTATTAGGATGTCATATTATTATGACATAAAAATATCAGGGTTGCTGGACAAAATGTTTTATGCTACTGGTTGCCATCTTATGGAAACATACTAGAACTAAAAGAACAAAAGATTATGTAAAATTATTTAAGTGTGAGGTACTAAAAATTGTGATGCTATTATTACACCCAAATGCCTTTTCTGAGAAAGGAATTTCTACTGGGCAAAAATGTTACAGGTCAAAAACCTGTATGTTTAACTTGAGGGGGAAAAGTACAATTGCATTATTAGGCAAATCACTTCTGTTTCATCCATCTCCACTGCTGACATCCTCATGGTTGTCACAAAATAATGTTGATTTAAATAAAGTTGACCTACATTTTACAGGGGGCATCTGTGTCCCCAGTTACTGCATAGCAAACACACCAACACTCCAGTAACTGTAATAGTCAAATAACTTAATTGTAAGAGTGGTCATATCAAAAATGGAATTTATTTAAAGAGACAGTACTGATAGGAATTGGATTTTGAGTGTATCATGAATTCTTGTACCAGAATTAGACTCCATAAGTTGTTGGTTTTTTTTTTCTGTTTCAACAACAAAGCCAAACAATCACTTTCTCAGCTGATTTGTCAGTCCAGCTAAAACCAGATGAAATATAAATTGGATTTTACAATAGTGATATGTATTCTATGCAAAACTTACATAAAACTTATTCAGTGACAAATAAGTGGAAGAATTGCAAATTATTCTGAAAGAGGTTACTCCTGAGAAAAGAAAAATAGTATTCTGCACTGTATCAGATAGAAATTATTCACCCCACACTGAGTAAATATATATTTTCTAAACAATCTTCAGAACACTGTTTTGTCTTCCTACCTGGCTCCTAGAATGCAAATCAGATGAAATAAAGAAAGTAAAATTTGTTTAATAAAACACTTGACAATGATTTCTCTCTCTCAAAAATGTTAATCTGTGTTAGGTTCTCTGTTTCCCTGTGCCAAGACTTATGTAATGTTCCTATGTGTAATATTACTATTGTGTTGCATATTTAAATTTCTGTGACCTGTATTTCGAGTGAATTGCATCATTAATATCAAGCTATTACATTCAGTGAAACTCTTCTTTTTTTGTTTTTTCTGCTCTTGAAAACTAAAGACCTTAATGCACATTCAAAAATTGATTCTGAATGCTGAGAGACTTGATGAAAAGGAGAACTGTCCCTTTGACTATATGAAGAACTTTTTTCCTTAAGTCAGACACCATGTTTATTTTAGTGCATGCTTTCTAAGTCAACAGAGGAAATTAAAGACCAGGTTCAGATTTCAGATTAATTTTCAGGAGTTTTAGCCTCCCACGTGAAAAAAACTCAATAATATGAAAGTATAAATAACAGAATACAGTGCATATAGTTTAATTAATATAATTATAATTATATTCATTTGAAAATTCTATTAATATATTTGCATATATATGAGATAGATAGATAGATAGATAGATAGATGATAGATAGATAGATAGATAGATAGATAGATAAAAGAAAATATGAGATTACACCCTTGATTTGAATAAAGCAAGAATTTTATTTTAAAGCTGCCTAAGTTTGCATGTCTTATGACAAATCCCAGTTCTTCTGTGGCCTGGCCTCCTATAACAACAAGTTCAATTTCCCAGCTGCAACAAATTATCTCAGAAAAAGCTACACACTCAATTTCACAAATAAATTGGGGTTTTGTTTGTTTATAATGCCTCACCTTGGTATAAAATAGTCACATAGTCATTCTCTCACCCTCTCAACACACAATCCATATTTCCCATTGTCATGTGGATACAGATAATGAAAATGTCGGAAAATTCTGCAAAATCTCAAGTTATATCAAACAGGAAGACATTTTTATAAACCCAGGGGAATTGCTGCCTTCACTGAGTATAAGGCAGGGTTCTTGCTGCCTTGAGAAGGACTAGTTTGCCATTGCTTATCAAGTTCTAAGGAATATCCAAGAAGCTTAAAAGCTCTATTTAATATGTCATTGACTGATTAATATAACTTGGGATAATCGCTCACATTTACTGGGCCAGGAATCTTCCAAGTCATGCATGTTCTTGATGTTATTTTAAATATAAAAACTCTAATTCTATAAGTAAAAAAGTAAAAAAGAAAGTAATTCTGTCCTGGCTAAAGTGTGATCATTATTATCTTGCAGGATTTTATATTTCAACACCCATTGGACTTGGATTCATAGAAGAACGAGTCCGGATTCTGAGTTTGCCTTTGGTCCCTTCAGATCTGTATTGTCTAAGCTTTTGGTATTGTTACATAATTCCTAAACCTGTGTTTTGTTTAAGAATATACCCAAAGAACTTTCTTTACTATAAAATATTAATCCCACTCAGTGTGCCAGCAATGCCAGCCTGGTTCTGTTTAGATTTCCACAATCAGTCTCAGCTCTCTGGGCCTGAAGTTTAACTCCATAGCTCTGACTTTTGCAGTTAGCTGTAATGTATTTTCTTTTCCACCCTGCGACCAATATTCATTTCTGTATGAAAATGACATTAAGAATCCCTGAAGTGTTTTTTTGTCATGAAGCTTAACTACGCCTCTACAATCCCAGGTGTAATTTAAACATACAATTAATATTATTTACATGCTTTCTTCAAATGAATCCTAATTCCATAAAACTTTATAATATAAAGAGTGACATTTTTTCATGGAATTTGACTTTGTTCTAATAATTCCAAAATGCTTTTCCCCTTCTAGGTATTTCATGTATGGGAGTAATGTTTACCGTTTACAAGTTAGCATAAGTGATGAGGATGGTCAGGAAAAGATCATTTTCGAGAGAGAAGGAAACTATGGAGACAACTGGAATTATGGACAAGTAACTTTAAATGAAACATCTGATTTTAAGGTTTGTTATGCTGCTTTTTTTTTTCTTTTTTAATTTATTTTAGCTAAACTGATATCAGAGTTTTCTGTGAAATGAACCCAAAATTCCACTGTTCCAAAGATAATATTTATTATCATTTAACAATGCCTGACATCAAAAAAATATTAGCATGCAGAAGATTGGAATCCCCATGTGAATTCTCCCAGTCCCTTTTTCCTTCTCTGGAATTTAAAGTATTAATATTTCAGAAAACAGAAAACCTGATCATGTTAACATGAGATCTGTCCACAAAACAAGAGCGCTCAAAGCCTATCAAAATCTGCTGTGGAATATAAAATCTCGATAGTGAGGGTGATGTGAAGCACTTAGCCATGAGAAGATTTAAATTTAAATTGCTTCAGATTGTGAATTAGTGTTTTCAATAATTACTTGCAGAAAGTATGTTGCAGATGGAAGTGGTTTTGACACCACAAGATTAACAACTGGCTTGACTTATCTGTAAAAAAAAGGAGGAGATTTATTCCAGACAATTCTTTCAGCACCTCTCCTTTGAAAACAATTTCTTTTTATAGGTATTTGGGATGGTTTGCCCTGCTAGAGTAGTTTTGATTGATTTCTGGCAAGCACTGCTAGAAAGATGCATTTAACATTTGAGGGAAAAAAATGCATCTGTGACCTGGATGCATCAGATTTCCAGGAAATACGTAACCACATATGATATCAAGAAGATTGCTATACCTAACTCTATTTCACCAGAACTAATTCCTTGTTTGCAGGATTACTTTAAATATGTGGATATTAAAGAATGGTGGAGAAAAAATGAGATTAATTTTAGGTTTTTCTGCCATTAGTTCAGAAGTTTGGACTGATGAGTAATGCAGAACTGTTTTTAAAATTATATGTATTTATGTATAAAACAAAAGTATTGAATATTTTAAATCATGTTCATCATTTAAATAAAGAAGCTACTACATTCCTTAGAATGACTCACTCAGTTTGCATAGTGCTGTTCTCTTTTGTGAGGAATTCTGTCTCTTCCCCGATGCCTTCCCCTGAGTGTAACACCAGTGTAAATTACAGTGGAAATAAGAGCATTCAGGGAAAGACAGAATGGTACAGCGCAGGAAGCTGCAAATGGTTCACTAAATTACAAAATTGTATTTTTTTTTCCTGAATTCAGGTTATTTTTGATGCCTTTAAAAGGCGTGGTCCCAGTGATATTGCCGTGGATGACATTGGCCTGACGAAGGGAAAGTGCAATGACAACAATTATGTAGAGCCAACTGTGAGGCCAACTACTGCTACCACCCCTTTAGTTCCTAGTAAGTAAACACTAAATCACTGTTGATTTCATATTGCTGTATTTGTGTTTGAGTGGGTCAGAGTTTTCAACCTCAGTTTTATAAAAACCTCTCATCGGCATTATAAAGTTATCTTCAGGATAACACGGTAAGATCGAGTTCCAGACAGTTTGTACAGCTTGATCCAGACCCTTCCAGCTGCAGAGTGTTTTAGAGGAAAGCACAGAGGTTTAAGTTTCCTCAAAACATTCCAGTTTCACAAAGCTAAGCAGGAAAATCTCACAGCTAGAAACCGAGAAAATACCTGTAACCGTCCTCATAAATCTGGATAATTCATAGAAAAGAGAGAAGAAAGATTGTATATGATGTTAAACAAGTCCAAGCACATTCAAAGCAAAAAGCAATACAAATATAAATAGAAATTGTGGAAAAATCATTAAAATATCTGATGAGGCTTGGTTTGTAATTTATTCTGAAAGTGGATGAAATGTTGGGAAAAAAATTTCTACAAAAGTCCTATTCAGGCATGTCTTTAAATCATTAAAACAAACACTGAGCATGTTCCAAGATTGCCTCTTATTATATTTACATTGCCTTTCAAAGCACTGCTGGTTTCTTTCTTGGCAACATATAGTAAATAAAAATGGTCTAAAATTAAAACAATAATAAGACTGTTTGCATTATATTCGTGTTGAAACACTGTATGCTAATATTATTATTCTCTCAAATCTGTCACCTCCATATCTACTGCATCAAGACAGGTAAAAAAAAGCCTTCTAAATGTAAAATGCAGTTTTAGAGCTCCATCATGAGACATGGGGCAGTAAAGTTCAACAAGATGTGTCTGTCAGCAAAATTAAATTTTAATAACAGTAGTAATTTCAGTCATAGTTTCTCAAAATGAGTTTTGGAATTCAATAGCAGTTTTTATTAAAGTAATTTTGTGGAGAGATGCTGATGCCTGCCCCCTCCAGCTAACCTTCAGGTGCTGTGAGTAAACACACCTCACAAGTTAGCACCAGACTAATGGTTATTGGTAGAATAGCCCTGTGGTAAATAGCAGCTGAGTGCTTCTGAAAAATACCAAAGGAATATCAAACTATAGATCTCTACCCAATGCATGGTCATAAAATTTTAGCACTCAAAAAAGGAACATGTTAATATGGCTCATAACTCCTTATGAAAGAGATTAAAGAGATCCATGATACAAAAGGACAGTCTAAGCTGTTGCTGGGGAAAATAATTACTTGTTCTTGTAATTTTGTTGGGACATGCTACAACATGCTATCTGTAACCTGTTTAAAAAAAAAAAAAAAGTGAATGTTCTCAATCATCTTCAAAGAAGTATGAAATTACTTTGATGAATGTGTACAAGCTTACTAACCCTAATGATTTCACTACAAATGTCACGTCCATAAACAAGACATAAAAGAATTTGAGCTGAGTCAATTTCTTTTACTGGAATTAGAGCTCCAGTAGAAGTCACTGGCATCATTCACAGTGCCACAAAAGCTCCTTGAAACGTAAGAAAGGATATTTTTGATGGTGGCACGGGAAATCTGGATTTACTTTTGTCTTTTGCACAAGACTGTCGCATTATACTTTCATCTAAAACAAGGATTGCTTTCATGTTCATGTTAATTTGTAATCTGTCTTTTAACACAAACAACAGTGTGGAAAAGACAGTGTACATTCCACACTTCAGACATGTATGTCAATAAGAACTGAAGTTTTGGCCAAAGAACAGAGATAAGGGTCATGTATCATTTCTAAAGTGTTGAGAAAATCATCTGTTCTGCTCAATCAAGATTGTTGGTAGTGATTATGATTTGGTTCTCTAATGAATAACAGCTGTATGAATAACTGCATATGAATTTATATTTAAAGATCACTACATATTTTTAAAACATTATTTCAAGACATGCCTAAATTCAATTTCTTCTCTCATATTTCCAAGCTAGACAAAGATCACTACTAATGTACCTTATATGTATCCAACACCAGATCAAGTTTCACATGCCATAATATTCCAATTTTTTTTAAAATGTAATCTTTATCTGTTGTTCATGGTAATTATAGAAAATAACCTTTCTTGTGAGCCACATGGCTGGAACATAATATACTTATTAGTCAGGGTGAGATTGTTAACAGCTCCTTTTCCTTCCTGAGAGTTCAGCTTTTCTTGCCAGGAGTGATTCGGTGAAATACAAAGTTCTAGAAAATGGCTGTGAGGGAGTTCAGGTTTTTCTTGGTTTGGGGAGTGTTTTGGGGGGGGGGGTTGAGCTTTCTCCCAGTGGGATTCAATGGTCAGACTTGGTAGGACTTATATGTAGATTATGCAGTCCCCAACCAAGGGGCTGAGAGTGTGAGATGCTGTCAGACATCATGGCATGCCAATTTGATCCATAAGGGGTGGCGAGGAGAGAGTTAAAGTTTAGCCAAAGTCTGAGAGTTCAAAAAAAAAGGCAACAATTTTAATTCAAGGAATAAAACATTTTAAAAAGCTACACCAAAATAAAGAAGGTAAAGGTGTTTTGCCTTAACTACTATTTCCTGAAGCAAGTGGAGGACCACTGGTCATTTTTGAATGAAGTAATTGTGAACCAGAAAAGTGGGAAAACACCAAAGTTCATTCTCATGGTTTATTCGGTCATTCCGATAGCTAAAATGAAAATAAATAATATTTGTCAATATCAAGTAAAGTTTTTTGAACACGAAGCTGGCATATTTGGGATGTAAACTGCCATCAAAATTATATATTGAAGCAGAATATTGAATATATAAAGTGCAGTTAGCTGTTTCCACGTTGTGAGTGCATGTATATGTGTGTACACATATCTACAATATTTGCTTTTACGGAAATTTTATTAATTTTTACTTGTAAGTACATATACATCTTTATGACAAAGGTTTTTTCTCCTAGAACAGTTATTTTAAGGAAAAAGCAAATGACTGTTTTAGCCACTGACAAGGTTTAGCTGTTAAAGGTTTTGGGGTCCTGAAGAAAGCCAAGTAATAGTATAAGGGGTTTGTGTTTTTTTTCTGAAAGTTTGCTTGCTTGATGACAAAAAGAGCTTTAGATTTGAGTACCTCTGCTGATGCTGCAAGAATTATTTCCTCACCAAAAGAGTCGCCAGGCACTGGAAGGGGCTCCCCAGGGAGTGGAGTCACTGTCCCTGGAGGTGCTCAGGAAAGAGCTGGATGTGGCACTCGGTGTATGGTCTAGGTGACAAGGTTGACACAGCCCTGTTGATCAGTCAAAGGCTGGACTCAGTGACCTCAGAGGTCCTGTCCAGCCTTAATGATTCTGTGATTGATCAGATAACAAGAAAGGCATAGGAGCAAAGTGCATGAATTGGTTATATTTGGGGGGCCACTCTTATTCTTGACATTTCCCAGCTTTTTTACTACGGTACTAGTAAATGAGAGAGATGATATCACATCTTTGTCTTCATATTTCTGTCATGGGTACAGCATGCAGACCAATAATCATGAAAATTACTCCTACAAATTATCATTGTTACCGCAGATTAAAAAATTAAGACAGCAGGTTAATTATGTTCTTGAAATGTTTTCTTTTTCAGCTGACTGTGGAGGGCCAGTTGAACTCTGGGAGCCAAACAGTACATTCAGCTCTGCAAACTTTCCAAACAATTACCCTAACTTAGCTTCCTGTAAGTAATTATTTTCCAAATCTTCAGAAGAAGTTTAACCATATAAAAATAGAGATACTAAACCTGCTTTTCCAACTCGGACATTGTCAAACAACAACAACAAAAAAATCTAAGGCATATACAGTGGGGTTTTTTAACTGCATTCTATATGTACAGAGAGGAAGCTAAAGAAACACATGCCAGCTGATTAAAAAGGGATGAAGACAAGCATAATCCAATGGAATGGGTCCAGACAGGCCAATTCTATCCTGCCTATTATGTCAAATGTCTTTATGTCAATGCAGCAGCACATAAGGTGATGAAAGTCTGCATTTTACCATAACTTGGTGTATTTGCCAGGTTAATATCATCACTTCTGCTGTTAAATAGCTCAAGTTTTCTAGAGGCAAAGAATATGTGCATGCATTTTGTAAAGAATCCTCTCTTTATTTAATGTTTTTTGACATACTAGTGAGAAGATATTGTTATTCTACTGATGTTACTCGATTTAGATTAAACGAGAGCTGCCAAAAGTGAATGTTTCAAGGTGGTCCACTACATCTTGTTGATGGATAAAGCAAAGAAGAGAGCTTTGTCATTGCTTCTTAATGAAATTTTAATTTCTTATTCCTACAATCCTGGGAAATTGTACTGGGATGGTAATCATAAGAGATGTCATTTTGTGTTTCTGTTCCACTTGAGATATGGCTCACATTTCCAGGATTCATTCCACAAGTTCCCAAATGAGATTCCTGCTAGTGAGAAAATACTTTTTGCTCCATGAAAATATGTTTGTTTTTTTTTTTTACTTTCTTTACAAGATTTCCAGAGTATCCACACTTAGATTAAATATGAGATAGTATAGGCTAAACAGAAGCAAAGAGCTATTTTAACTTGAAAGAGAAGCTTCTGTGACTGATTATAAAAATTATCTTACTATCAAATGAGACTTATGTGACAGGACTATTTGTCACATTGTCACAGTCAGAAAAAAATGAGCTTTACTACTTTGGGGAAATTCACAGCTGACATGAATGATTAAAAACACATATGTATATGTTGTAGAAGCCTAAAATAAGTTTTCAAAAATGTTTTAAGAATGAGAAAGTATAGAATTTTGGATCTTGACAGCTTTTAAATACAAGATTTAAACTTCTTAGTTTCTTGGGTGATTATTAACAATTTAGGAGAATTTTCTTTTTCCCTCCAAAGCCCTTCAACATGAAAATGGCACAGTAAACGTAACTACTGAAAAGGTGATGTGTGTGTGTGTGTGTGTTTTCCAGGTGTGTGGTATTTGAATGCTGAAAATGGAAAAAACATCCAGCTTCATTTTCAGGATTTTGATCTGGAAAATATTTATGATGTGGTTGAAGTCAGAGATGGCAGAGGACCAGATTCCTTACTTTTGGGCAAGTAGCAGCAGTGGGTACTAAAATGAATGTAATCAGACAGCTGGAGCAAACTGATGGATATAATATCAAGGAAATTAGATTCCTCTCATTTCATTCACAATTTTTGGGCCTCAGAAATTCATAGGAAAAATTGAGAAAGTTTACTCTATGTGACATCAGGTTTCCAAAACATTTGCACACATTCATCTCTCCATGCAATCTGTGTGAAATTAAATTCTCAGTAAATCAGACTGTTTTAGTGTGTGGACAAACAGATGGATAATCTCGGAGCTGAGCCTTTTTATTGTTCTATGCTGATTAGTGCTGGGGTCAGCCCTGGTGTTGGGGTCTGACCTTGGCAGTTAGGTTTGGGGGAGCAGCTACATCCCTGTGGCAGCAGTATTTGCTTTTGAACCCAAAACATTGTGAAATAAAAATGAGCAAAATAGGTTGAACGTACTCATGTTTTCCTGGTGAATAGCTGTCTACACAGGGAAAGGCCCACTGCCAGATGTCTTCTCTACAACAAACCAGATGACAGTGATCTTCCAGACGGACAAGTCTTCAACGGGGAAGGGATTTCTTGCAAACTTTACGACTGGCTACCATCTAAGTAAGCATCTGAATCTTTGTATTTAAGAGGTTATTCCACTGGCCAAATATATTTCAGAAAATGTGGAGAGTGAAAAGTGATTCTCAGCACTTGCTCAGTAGAAAAATGCAAATGTTAAAGAGAAAAAGGCTGGTTACTCATCTGTACTTTAGATTTCCTGTCAAGAAAAGTGATTGGTTTGTTCCTTAGTGTAACTGGGGCAATGTCTATATCATGTACAACTCTGTGATATATGTGGAAAATTGACTCAGTATTTTGATCAAAATATTTTCAGATGTTAAGAGGGCAAATACTAACTATTCCCTATAAAAACCCCAGGAAAAAACATCACATCATTTCAGCGTGTCATTAAAGTGTGTTTAAAGGCATTTGTGAAATATCTACTATTGATAACATGCATTAGAAGAGAAAGCTCTATGTGGTAACTCCAATCAATATTTGCAATATGGTCCTTCTTGCAGCTTTAAAAATTTGATCTTCAGTGTGTGAATAATCTGCGAAAAAATAGTCTCTTAAATATTTGGACAGAAGTGTTTTTGATTTCAGCCAGATCCCTTCTGAAAGGCTCTTGATTTTCTTGGGGACTGCAATTAGACTTGTCACTCATAATTCAGCAATCAACTCTCCAAAGTATGCAAAATGAAGCATAATGCAAATTACATGGAACAGTAGTATGCTTAGCAGGACAAATAATTATACTAACTCTAGGCCAAATCTTGACTGAATTAATTAGAGGCTTTGTATTACTTCTATGGAAGTCTGACAGGAGAAAAACAGAGAAAGAAAAAGCAGTATGTATTGGGAGATGTGTGAAGAACCTTTAGCTTACCTGAAGAGAAAGTTGCCAAGGATCTTTTTTATTTTTCTTACTTTAACTCTCAGAAATGGCAAGTTTCTCCCAGCTTTTTTAATCAGGAACAGATTTTCTATGGATTCACAGTAGTAATAATAATATTACTTTCTTAATTTTTTTTTAAATCTTCATTCTTGGTCTACATTTGTAAAATTAACTCTGTTTAATTCCGTTGTACAACACTGAGATGCTAGTTCATATGTCCATATGACAATTTTGCTGCTTCTTATTCTGCCTTCTCTATCACATTTGTTCAGTCCAAAAACTCTCTGCCTTTTTTTTTTTTTTAGGCTAGTTCAGCATTTTTGCTGGGGCCAGCCTTGCCCATATTTTGTAAAAAGAAAATTAAGCTTAGCAAGGTAAAATTCTCAGAGTGGCCATTGCCAGTTCTGGTTAAATATATTTAAACAGTTCCATTTTCATAATAATTATGCTTATTCATGATCTTCGCAGCCAAAGGACAAAGACTAATATTATTAGCATGAAGGCCTAGGGATAAAAGGATTGTCAGTAAATAAATTAACTTTAGAAGAAAAGCAGATTTTTCTCTGTATTTTATTTTTTCTATGAAATATTGGTGTTTTAAAAGTAAGAATTACTTGAACAGACATAATTTTTGGCAGTATGCAATATAATAAAAACATTGTCAATTAAGAACTAAATTCTGTAGAATATCTGTCATTAGTTTTGGACATTGAATGTGTGAAAATCTGGTTCAAGCCGTCTATAAAACGTCTAGATAATTAACTATTTCTGTCAGTAAGTCCCGGAAGGTAAAAGAAACAATTTTTTGATGGAATTTAAGTTTATGACTGTATATTTCCTGTAATACAAATGAAGCCATTAACCATACACTTTGGTCACAGAAAGAATTATAACTTTACATTTACTCTCTCCCTTATTTGCTTTTATTGTATAACTGATTCTGCAGTTATATATATTAAGCTTCTGCAGAAGCTTAATCTTTCTTTTATGAATGCTTTCCTCATTTATTCCATTTACTTTTGTCTCTTCCACCTTTCCTAATAAGCAAGTTTCAGGAGACTCAGCTCTCATTGCCTCTTTGCTCATATGCTTGACTTGACAGATTTTAAGGTCTCTGAAATTTGTGAAAGTGCTGAACATTTGAAAATTGAAATCATTAGTCACTTTTGACAGGATTTGACTTTTCACTCCCATATTTATGACTTAAAATGGAAGAACACTACTAACTAAGCAACACTAACTAGAACAGAAACTACAAAGCAGAATACCACTGATTTTTCCTTAATTAGCTTCTATTTGTCTGGAAATTATCTTTATTTTGAAAGAGAGATGGATGTAAATGGAAATTAATACTATCTGCACAGTTTTTTTCAGGTGAACTGTAAGAGCTCCTGTGAATATCAACCTTCCTCAAAATTACAGATTAATTTTGCTCTCTCGTTTCCCTTCAGGGGCTTGCACAGTTGATGAGCACCAGTGTGGTAGTGGGACGTGCATCCCATTGTATAACCTGTGTGACAACGTACCTCAATGTGAAGATGGCTCTGATGAAGCAAAGTGCAGTAAGCTTTCCTTCATACAAAGAAATCACAGAATCATTTAGGTTGGGAAAACTATTAAAATCGTCAAGTCCAACCATTAACCCAGCACTGCCAAGTTCACTGATAAGCCATGTCCCTCAGTGCTACATCTACGTCTTTTAAATCCTTCCAGGGGTGGTGACTTCACCACTTTGCAGGTTAACATGCTTAACAACCCTTTTGGTGAAAAATGCTTCCTAATATCAAGCCCAAGCCATGCATATTTGGCAGGAATTGCCTAGGAAAACAGCCACGGGACCTCAGGTAATGTAGGATGCTGCAAATGCATGCAGAGCATGCCAGCTTGCACAGCAGTATCTCCTTGGGTTTGTCAGGGCCAGGAAAACAGTCACTTTTCTGAGATAGTGTATGGAATCTGGCAAAGAACTGGCAAAGAACTCAAAAAGGTAGGAAGCTCCTCTGTGCTGAGGACTGTAGTTGTTTATAATGACCTCAAAATTAAATGGAAACTCAACATAGGTTTTTCTTCTGCATCCATTTCATATTTCCAAATTCTACTGGGTTTTGTTGTAATTAATGTTGCAATTAATCACAGCAGTATAAATTCTGCAGTGCAGGGTAGAGAATAACTATGTTCTTGGTGAAAATTCCCAAATAGTTTTGTGGGTGCAAGTTTTGTGGGTGCAAAGCCAAACTATAACACGGCACCCTCCAGCCCACCTGGACTCCGTGGGATGAATGGATGTCACAGTTCCAAAAGCAGCATCCGTTGTTCACTGCTATTCCTTACTTCTCTGGTAAAGTGGTTCTTTCCAAAATGCATGTGCTCAATATATTAATTCATTTCACATAGCAGGGAAATGAGATTCTCTAGAACACTAATTTAAATGTAAGACTAGTGCTAAAATCATGTTTGACCTAGCACAGCAGTTAAACTGCCCTTTCTGACAATCTGCTTTGGAGAGCCAAAGGAAGATTTAAAAGTGGTCCTTCAGCTTGGCACCATTCCTTTGCTTTAAAGAGCTCTGCTAGGCATCAGATATGTTTTTAAGTATGTGCTGACAGTCCACTGATTTCAATATTTTTTATATGCATATATATAAAAATATACATGGCATATGTAAATACATGCAGATAGATGTCTAAAGACACAGATTCACTCCTCAAATTAATGCCATTGACTATTTTGTTGCAAACATATTCTTCCTTTAAAATGTTGTCACCCAGGACAAATGTATAGAATAAAATTCACTTCAGTTTCTTCTTAAGCAAAGAAAACTTGATTTTTTTTTTTCCCAGTCATTGCTGAAGAAGATCTGAACAAGGTAATCATCACCCACATTAACACAATGTACATTTTCCCAAAGATTTATTTTGCCATTGATTGTCTATTACTTTATAACAAATTACCTCACATGAAAAGCCTGGGAGATTTTTTTTCCAAAAACCCATTTAATCCAAATTTTGGCTAAATCAATCTATTTCTTAAAATGAAAATTCAAGTAGAAACTCTCACATTGAGTCTTTCCAGTGTCCAAGAGCCTTGCTCATTTTCCTGAAACCAATTTCAATGTCTTATCAGAAGTAGCAATTTGAACTAGAAAAACCCTCTTTTCAAATCCCTCAGTTCTAAAGTTCTAAAACTTCCAGGGATTGCAAAGAAATTCCAGAATTCTAAACTATATTATATCTGGATTAAGCAGTTGTTGGAGCCTCAATGATTTTATTATTCCTAACCAATAATGTATTTGGAGAAGAAGATGGATCTAATGAGGAGAAAGGGAAAGGAGTTATAGGTCATGTTCTCTCAAGAAGAGAGGTGTCAAAAGTAATTTGGAGACATCTTGCAGTGCATACAATTACAAGATGTTTAAGGAGCTCAGAAATTTAATTAATTTAATCCAAGATTTACCATTAATTAATCACTGTACATCACCTCTTTCATTCATGCATTCCAAGTGTCACAGAGTCATTTTTTAAAATCTTTTTTTTTTTTTTTTTACTATTGTGGGTACTCTTTGTGAAAGCGTTTTGGTGGGAAAATTGCACAAGTAAGATTTAAAAAAAAAAAATTTGGTAACCAATAAATGTCAATGCTTTTCCCTACTTCACCATGGCAAGACCTGTCATCTGCCTGGAATGCAGCTGTAGATGCTAAAACGTATATGAGACTCTGTTGACATTATTATAAATAAATTTTAATGTTACATAATAAAATTCTTATTTTATATACATGAGAGTCTGTTGGCCTTACAGCCCGACTTCTTTAGTCACTATGTCAATAGAATAGGACTTTTTACCAATATGTTAAAGAGCTTCTGAATTTTTGTTCTGAATATTTTCTTTTGGGAAAAGTTTTTATAGAAGGACTGGTTTTCAGTGAGCTTTTATTATTAGTGTGAATGTTTTTAACTAAAACTGCAATGAAAACTGTGAAAACTCATAACAATTGGAACTGGAATTTTTAATTTTTTTTTTTTTTTTTTGTCAACACTCATTTTAACCTTATTTCCAGACAAGTATTACTGAGCATCATGGAGCTAAAGCTTCACTTATTATTTGAGAATTATATAATACTGACTAAGAAAAAAATGCATTGTTTAGAGTTCCTGAAAAATGTACTGTTTATTGTCTATTTCTGAGACATTTGCAAAATACAAAGGGTATGAAACTCCCCCGTGGCAGAAATATAGGAGATAACAATAGTATTTCCTTCCTGTGGGAACAGAACATCCTGGAGATGCTAGGTTTTATTACCTCCATAATCCATTTTAACTTTTTTTTTTTGTTCTTCATTGGCAATAATAAAGTCATTATATTACACTTCTGTGTTCCTGGGGTCGGGGAGGAAAGTGGTTTGTCACCTAACCAAAATGTTTCTGCCCTTTTTGCTCTCCAGTGAGATTATTCAATGGCTCTCTGAGCACTGAAGGGCTGGTCCAGGCCAGGATTGGGAAGTCGTGGCATCTGGCATGTGCAGATGATTGGAGTGGAGAGATTTCAGACAGTGTTTGCCAGCTGTTGGGGTTGGGGTGAGTGATAAATATTCATTGTCCTTTGTAACTTCTTTGCAGATTTGTTGAGTGTATATTGGCATGTTCCTTCTCATTTTACTGGTATACTCTCCAAAAAAATGGCAAACATATCTGTCTCTGTCAAGTGGAGTGCTTGGTGTGCCAGCAAATCTGAACGTGTGGCAAACCCTGTCTTGATGACATTCAGTACAGGATTGATGACTCTGAACATGGCAGGTTGGGCATGAGGATGCATATTGGAGAACACTGGGAGAGTGTTGTGGATGCATCACTCTTTTATCACTTTATGTCATCATTTACATCTTCACTTTCGTAGGGAGGGCTCGAGAGTAAAGCTGGAGCCAGCAGCAGCCTTGGCTGCTCTGCCTTCCTAGTGCTGCTGCTCATTCCAAGTAGAGATAATCAATTGGATATTCTGCTACTGGGCTCCCAATATATTTCATATCCATCATTAGATCTGAGCTGCTGGGAGAGGAAATGGACTTTCTCTCAAGGCAGACTTTGAGCAGGGATGGAGTAGGGAAGGACTCGACAGAAAAACAGATTTGGCTTTAGTCACTGTTCAGAAGTATTTTCAGGGGAAACACGGGGATTGTTGAGTGCAGGGTGTTGCATTTTTCAATCTATGGTAAAATTTATGGCCTAAATTTTGGCTTTACTCACATCATGTGCTACTCCACTGCCATCCACTGAATAATAATTAGCTTTCCTGCAATGCTGAGGTTTTTAGGGAATGTCACTCACCCAACTAATAATCAAACTAAATTCTAAGCTTGCAATTCATTATTTTGGACTCTGACCAAAGAAAGATGCCTACAATCCCCTTCTGTTAAATTAATTTTAGCAATCACACAATTAGAATGACTTAGAAAAATATCCAAGTGTTATTTCAAAATGCTTCTAAATGGATGAATGTCTGCTTGATTTCTTGGGTTTTTCCTTTTCTCCTTTGGGCACTTACTGAGTTTACGTAAATATCAGGTAGCCACATGCACAAATCCTGACTGTAATTTATGTATGCATGCATGTAGGAGCATACAAACTATGTTTAAATGTCCTTCTGGCCAAATACCTTGTTCTTTAGAGTGGCCAGTGGCCTTCTTCCTCTGATTCTTTCTGCCCCTGCCCTGCCTTCTTTCCCTTCTGGACAGAAATAATTTTGTGGTCTATGATTTAATTGACATATTTGATGCTTTTCAATAGGTTTTCATGGAATTTTGCATTCCATGGTATTCTACCTTTTAAAAATTACTTAATGCTTTTGTCTCTATAACATTCTACAGCAATATCTTTCAGGTTGTCTCTGTAAAGTACTCAGGTACACTTGCTAAAAGAGTTCCTATTAAGTTTCCTAGTTATTTCTTATTAATTTCATTTCTCAGTTTATTACATATTCCCATTGTCAAGAAAAAATATTTTTAAATCTAACCTGTATTACATTTTTGTAATCTGGGTGCTATTGCAGTTACAGCATAGGACAAAATTCTCATATGTGTATGTACATATGCATTCACTGATATATGAATAGATGTGTGTATATATATATATATATATATATATATATATATATGTATGTAACTCCTGTATGCATTATGCTATTCTGCTTTCCTTGAATCCCCCTGTAGCAGCATATCTGTTAATAAGTGTCACCATATTTGTTACTAAATGGATGTTTGCAATGACAGGTCCTGAGCAGGCTCTAGTTCATGCTCCTACACTGAATTACAACCTAGAATCATGCTTTATTAGAATGACAGGCTAAAGTTCATCTAGGACAATTTAGTTTTACTATTAATTGCTTATACATTTGCTAGTCTCACTTGCTGTTTAATTTATGGAAAGGACTGAGCTGACAGGAGTCTTGTATCATATTCTGATTATTTATGTACCTGGGCTAAAACGAACCTCGCAGGTTCTTATAAATCTCATGTGTGAATCCTTTTGCCTCCATTTTTCATATATGTGACTCTTGAATTTGTGATTTGTACCAAACAAGGAGCCAGTCTGGGGACATGCTTATCATGCATCTACAAAATACACCTTGGGCAAATAATTTTAAAATCTTCTTAATGAGTCTGGGGTGCAAGATTAACAAATTGATGCTCTGGAGAAATCTGAAAATAATCCTTTGCTCATCATGCACTTGTAGCTGTGTGCATCTGACAGCACTGCTAAAATCTTTTGTCAGCACCTTATTTCCTGGAATCCAAGAAAATCAACACACTGAGCTTTTCTGTTGGGCAGATGCAAAACAATCCTGTTTCCCTGGGACCAGAGCCATCTGAGTCTTTGCTGAATTTTACCCAGGATTGAGGGTAGACCTGGCAATTTTGTCACATGTAAAAGTCCAACAAGTGAGAGTTTAGGCTTTACTCTGAAACCCTTCATTCTATTTTTTTTCTTTTTCATGAACTTGCAACATTCTTCAGAAGGAAATGAGTAAAGGAATACTTTGCTGATCTCAGCAAAGTTCTTTATCATAGAATTTGACTCTGCCTACCTGGCTTGGCACTTTACTGCTCTCTCAGACTGTCTAAAAGACACTTCCAGGCTGAGAAATGCAGCAGCAGTGACTTTTCCAGCAGGTGGATCATACAACTCTCCTGGTGGCACAGCAGGATTGTTGAACACCTCTTTACTTCATACACAGCAGATTTTCAGGCAGATTCCAGCCTTCATCCTTCTCAGGAGAGTGAGATTTACTGCATTTGTAGAGAAGACACAGTGCACGTATTCCCTGTGTATTAAACCTGCAGCTGCTCCCTGTGTAATAAACGAAAGGTTTTCTTCTTGCTCCTGAGATGTGTAAGGCTAAAGGGCCAGATGGGAGGCTGTCATCCCCCCAAAAATTATGTAGTCTAACCACAGCTATCTTCTTTCCCCATGCTCCCTCAAGGGAAAACACATATGTTTCATGGACATGTGTTGCAAACAGGTCATATGAAGTATCACAAAGGACATAATGCAGAATGGACTATAAAGTAAATCTGGATATGGGTTCTAAATGTCAAAACAATTTGTCTCACCAGTAGTAAACAGAATTCTTAGTTCAATATGAATATGCCTCACTCCTGCTCAATAGCAAACATGACACTATTGACTTATTCCACAGCCACTCTGATTTCAAAAGTTCTATGAGATAAAAATCAAATTTTCTTTTCTCCATTAGATTCTCCATACTACAAAATATAATTTCATTTCTCTCCCAGACGGTATGGTGTAAGTGTAACTGCACCCCTCATAAAAGCAAAACTGATACTCCAAGGTTCAGCTATTACTGCCTTGTTTGGCATACTAAGTTCTAGCTCCATACATTTAAGAACTGATGTTTCAAACCTTTTGTCGTGGCATAGAAAAGCCAAAATGAAAATTTACTGCTGCCAAAAGAATTAATTAATATCTCTTTCAATATATTGTAGCATTAGAAATCTTAGAATAAGATGTAAGACTGGAAATAAGTGACTTGCATTTTAATCCAAAGGAGTTTCATGCCTCAGAAATCTCCTGCTAAAGAGTCATTATTTGAGGAGAAGAGAAAATAATTAAAAACCTGTTGTTTATTCTATCAGCATAATCATTTCCCAAATACTGCTCCACTGGAGGAATAGGGTATATATCTAAAAATATGTATGTGTTTTTTTGTCCCAGGGATGCAAATATGTCGTCAGCTGTATTATTCACAGGAGATGGCCCATTTGTCACCATCAGCAAGGGAAGTAACCACAGCCTCATTTTTACAGAAAGGTGGGTACAGTGAGATTTCTTCCTCATACAAACAATGTCTTTAAGTATGGTGGCAATTATTTATACACTAAAATATAGCTCAAATCTTAATTGATGTGTCTATTCATTTACTGTGGAAAAGATGTGTTCTTTTAGCAAAATATTTCTTATCTAGAAGTCTCTGAATTATGAGTACGTAATATAATAGAATTAAGACAACCTATATATAATATAGAAGAATTAACACGGAGTGACATTCACCCATAGTTAGAGAGAGTTGTCACAGTTGGGCTTCTGTGCAATCAGCAGATAAAAAGAACCACACCAAAATGTGATGCATCAAGGCTTCTCTTGAAATATGATGAGACACACTCTAGAGTCCTTTGATTTTATTGATATATTGACCTTGGACACACTGAGGATTGCTAATTTAAACCATCCACAGACAGATATCTGTATTTAACCAAACTATCCCCACTCAAAAAATTATTTCTGGATTTGTCTCCACATTTACAAGTGAATTATTAGATGACATGGTCCTCAGAATACATTTGATTCTATGCTAACCTTTCTCAGTCCAAATAACAGCTGAAATGATTCTGAAGGATGCTACAAACTGGTATTTTCTTGTAGATTAAATTAAAATGTGATATTAGCCCAGGATTGCATCCTCAGGCAATGGTGGGATTTACAATACAACTCCCAAAGAAAAAGGTTTGCCATCATCCATTTAAAGAATTGTGATTACTTCAATTACTATTTTCTGCTTATAAGGGTTCACTGTATAATTTTTTTCTGGATTTCTACCAAAACACTGAGCCAGAAAATATCTGTCTAATTGCCAAAATGCTGAAACCATGTTGAGGACAGCAAGAGTCCATGTTCTTTCAGTTTCCCTTTATAAACATACCACATAGTAATAAAGCAAGAGACACTTCTTAATTTTCTATGGTCTATTATTTTGTCTACAGGAAAAAAAAAATAAATGTTACATTTTATGTTCTAATTATATTCTGTTAACCCTAAACATTTATCATTCTCATGGGTAGTGAAAGCATCTTAAACTAATGGAATCTCATTGGAGGCTATTTTTCTTTTTTTCTTGAGTGAATGTCTAAACCAGCATTGCCACAAGACATCTTGAAGAGCAGTAATGATTTAAAGATGTCTTCTATTAATGCCAATTAAACACTAAAAGTGATTAAAGCAGGAGGAAATGGAATAAATTCATTTATCTTAGTTGTATTTCTGTTGCAGAAACAGGTGTCTTCTCCCATGTTTCATCTGGACAGCTGATAGGAATCCTTTTGCAGGGTGACACTATTGCAGATTCACACATGGGTTTTGTACATATAATGAATGCTAGAAAGATCACACATATTTGATAATTTAAGCAACTGAATTAATTAACTGGTAATCTAATTATAAAATGTATTTCTCACATTGTCTTTGGTTTTTATTCAAGTGCATCCACCATTGAAACAAAGGAGGGCACATATAATAGGGCTTGAAAGCTGCAGTGACAGAGACAGCAAAAGAAGTCTCTGGTGCCCTTAGGTAATGTGATTTTTGGCAGGATAGCTTTGTAAGAGCCCCAGATCCTGCCTCTTAGATGTATGTGAGCAGATTCCACAGGGACCAATTGTTTTTGCCAGTTCTAAGCGAAGATCATGCTCACAGACATCTTAACTACTCCAGATTTCTGCCTGGCAGTGCTGCTGACAGCTGACACTCAGAGAGGCACAGAGGAGGGTGTTCAGCACATGCCTCTGGTGCCTTTTGGCCACTCCTGGGCTGACCCAGAGGCAGCTGAGAGCTGCTGGGCTGAAGTGCAGGCAAGGAAGTGCTTCTCCTGCTCGGAGCTAGCTCCACAAAGAAGAAAAAGCAGAGGCAAATGAAGTAATTTCTACTAAAGCAACCAGTGGGTACTTGTGGTGGGACAGGCAACTCCCTTTACACTGGGAATGCAAAATTATAGGGGCAAATCTGACATTTTGGTTGTTCAGGTAGTTTATGCATTTACCTATGAGAAAGCGTAGGATCAGATCAAAGACCTAATATACAGCACCACTGATCCCCCTTTGAAAGCTATGAAAGCATTATGGAAAAGGGTATTTAGTTGCTATAAAGTTTATGCAGAGGATTGTCTTGGTTTCCTGGGGGTTTATGTATTTCTGGTTGTCCTTGATGTTTGACTGGTTACAGATTTGAATACAAGTCACAGAAATTGGTTTTCACTTTTTAAATTACAGCTTTAAAATTAGGTACCTATCTTGAAATGGAAAATGGTAATGTGGGACTATTCAGAGACAGAATATCTCATTTGCACCCCACTATAGTGAAGGTTTAATTGGGGAGGTGGTGGGTGGTTACAGTTCCCACTTTATTTCTGGTACCATTGTGCCACTGGGAAATAACTGAATCACATCTCGCTCACAGCAGATATCAAATTTTGGAGCAAGCAGTGAGGGATACATCATTCATGTTTATGATGAATCATGTTTAAAGTATCCTTCACATATTCCATTTAAAAATGGAATGTAGAAATTTTCACTGGAAGAAAATTGTTGGCAGAGCTTGGTTTTCTATCTTCCTCTCATTCTTATTTCTGTGTGTATCAGATTTGAATTGCTAGCACATACACTGTCCCAAGTGTTTCAGATTCATTACAGACCATGAACATAATATTAAAACCTCTGGGTATCAGAAAAGCTTGAGCAGTTTTCATCTGTAGTCTTGTACTCTTAAGATTCTGGCTTTATATTTCTGCTAAATAATTTCTAACCTTGCATATGCAACTATGTATTTTACAGTAGCATTATTTTCTTAGTAAAATGATACAGGGATATAAAACTAACCTCTTAAATTCTTTGGCCATACTGATCTCTAGTGGTAAGGTATTGAAAACATCTCAAAAGGTAGGAGAAAATACCATAGGCAGCTATAACTTTATTGCAAATCTGTCACAGACAGACGACCCTTTTCCCTAAAACACAAGAAAAGTCTACTTTTATTTCCACAAGATAAATATATTAAATTCCCATTGAAGAGGAATATGTGCATTTAAAGTTGTATAACATATAATGTTGTTTATTTATAATTAAAATATAATTTAAACATGTAGCATTAGTTATTATACTTAAGAGGCTAATACTGCTAAACTAATGTACTTTTATATATATATGATTGTATAAATTTTTCTATATGTGTATATATATTTGACAGTCAGAATTATCTGGTCTGCAGATATTTGTGATTTAATTGCATTTTCATTCTAGAGAACACTGTTTGGACAACCTTGTGGTTCATCTGCAATGTAACATTCAATGTAAGTACACAGAATCCAGGAATGTTTCACAGAGAGATCAAATTGTTTGGACCATAAAGCCAAATGTTTATAGCTTGAATGGAAAGGTTAGGGAATGGACTATAAACTCATAATGATATAAACACAGGAAAATTTAGTCTTCATTCGATTTCAATGTTAAGTGTACACTAGAGATGGATCTGTAGTGAAAATATCTATAAAATAAATGTATAAAAATTCCGGAAGGTCTGGGGAAAGAAAACATCTAAATCCAAGTTAGGCAGTTGCATCTTGATTTCAGCCATAAAAACCCAAACTTTTTTCCACAGTATTTTTGAACAGCAGTTCAGATTCTACAAAGCCTTCTTTTTCCCAAGAAAACTGACTAGTCTAATAACCTATTTTACATCCCTTTAATTTTTTTAATTTTATTTAATTCTATTTCGTTTTATCTTAGCTTGTGGAAAACACCTGGTAACTCAGAATAATGGAACAAGAATTGTAGGTGGAAGTGATGCCAGAAGAGAGGCTTGGCCTTGGATAGTTTCACTCCAGTTTAATTTCCAACCCGTTTGTGGAGCTTCCCTTGTCAGTGATGAGTGGCTGGTGACAGCAGCACACTGTGTCTATGGGTAATGTTCTTTTATGTGCAAGTTCACTAAAGAGGCATCAGATTATGAACAAATTGTGACACTGATATGAAAAATTAACAATTAGCTCCTGGTTTAATGACCATGTTTTGAATCACTTGTAGCCACAGCTGAAGTTCCTTTACTTCCTGGTAAATCCTCAGTCCTTACTTTAATGCAGGGAATTGTGGAAACCAAACAGCATTTCCTGAACAATAAAGAATTGCACTTTAAATGCATGGTATTAATACTGAGCATTGGTACTTAATCCATAATTATCGTGGGTCTCCAATAATTAAGTGAATCCCTAACAGCTGTGTAAAAGGTGACATCATATCCCATAAATTAAATCCAGCTTTCCTCCTGTAAATGATCATGGATTGATCAAGATTTTCTATGTATTACTGGAATGAATCTTGATTTATGGGCATTGATTAGGGAATATTGGATATCTTCTCTATGGTGTTATTTGTACCATTCAAAGTGATGCATATTGAAATATTTTCTAGGGTTTGCTTTCATAATATCTACAATAAAAACAAGTGTTGTCAAAGACATAGAAACTAAAAAGGGGGGGGGGGAGGGGAAATCAAAATTAGAGTAGAGCTTCCACTACAAATAGCTAAATAGTAAGGCAGTGGAGACTGTGCCAAAATCCTAATACTGCCTTATGGCATGACAGGAACTACATTTCACACAAAGAAACTAAAATGAAAAGGATTAAACCCTCTTAGTTTCCACACAATAAGTCCACGGTTGTCTCCATGCTCTTTTTCACTTGAATCACCTTTCTATTTCCAACTAAATCTATCTTATCATCTTGCCTTTGCTAGAATTTTCCCAAATTGAACTTGCAGTTTCACACCTTCTGAACGTTTAACTTAAACACTCCTAGTTTAGAACAAAAGAACCTCTTGATGTCAAACCAAAAGATGAGCAGAAACCAGTTCAGTCCAACAATCAGGCTGAAAATGTACTTTTTAAACCATAAAGTGATCAATTAAAAAACAGCAAATATTTAAGTTCTCTGATGAATACAGCCTCAAACCAGCATGTGTAGATTAGGAAAAAAAAATGTGGATTATGCCATATTTGATTTTAGCATCTCTTTTTTGATTGAGAATTAAAACTAATAGACCAGTTTTCTGAGTCTACAAGCTGCAGCATTTCCAACATCTCAGACCTCCTATTATTTAGACATTCCATTACAATTTTCTAACTGGGACCAATATCAATTGCCTGCTGGTCAGCCAGCAGTATTGTTCATAATGTTTAAAAAGTCATGGTAATTTAGTTAATGTATTTTACTCCTCTGCACCACCACTGATTAATTCATTATAAATAATTCATTATAAGCTCACCATAAAAAAGTCAGCAACACATATCTGCAGCGTGGATGTTCAAGACAGTGAAACTCTCACGGAATTCTGAGCACATCTACTCTGTTCTATTTATTTGAGAAAACAATAGTGCAAATGTTATGGACTACCACGAGGCTAAATATCAGCAGTTTATCTGATACATATTTTTTCAAAACTTTCACTAGCCATTCCTAATTGTGAATGCTCTGCAATTTGTAGGAGACAATTAAAGCCGTCCAGCTGGCAAGCGGTTCTTGGCTTGTACGATCAGTCAGATCTGGCACAGCCTCCAGCAGTGGTTCAAAACATCGACAGAATAATTATAAATCCTCATTACATGAAGGAAACAAAAGACAGTGATATTGCTCTGATGCACCTTCAGCAAAAAGTGGAGTATACAGGTGAGTTTTTTTTCCCCAAAAGACACATTTATTCCCATTTATTCTATGATGCAAAACAATGCTAAGCATGTGAGGGTGCTGGGAAGTCTGCTCAGTACTTCCTGGATATCTTGGCCAAAAAGTGGGTTTGGATTAATGAACATTTTCTGGTGTGACTTCATGAAAACCTAAATAAAGGGAAGAGGCTGAAATTGATTGTTTGTTTCTCGTTCACAGATTACATACAACCTATCTGCCTACCAGAAAAAAATCAACAGTTTTTACCAGGAATTAACTGCTCCATTGCTGGCTGGGGAAAAATCGAGAATGAAGGTGGGTCATCTGCTTGGAAAATTCTGACAAGCATGTAGCTGTGAGGGAAAGCTTGTTCCTATTCCAAAGGAGTTGCTAAGGTCAAATAGTTTAGGGAGCTACTCCTCCATATGAAAATTTAGAATCTATCCCAGTCCACTATTCTTTCTCTGAAGCAAAATTATAGTTATAGTATTTATAATTATAGTATTTATTAGAAGAAAACATGCATATCTAAGTTTATTAGGCTATGAAGAAAGCTTATTACATCCACTTAGAAGTTATGATGACTACTTTTCTCAACATGAAATATGTTCATCTTGGTTCCAGATATTGGGTGGGGGAAGAGGAAGATTAGTCTTTCTGACAATGTGCAAATGATTTTCCTCAGAAGTCAAGGAAATTGACTTCAGTGTGAAATGTATATTCTGTTTGTATGTCATATGCTCCAGATTTGGAGTCTCTCTCCAATAGTAAACATGCCATTTCACTTCCACAGTTGAAAACATTGACTTTTATATTAAATTACACTTAATATTTTGAGTAGGAATTAATAAAATAATTTTTAAAAAAATTTAAATAACTAAAGTTACACAATGAATAGTAAGGAGATACTGGACAACCCACGTTCCTAAGCCTTTAATCATCCCTTAGATCTCCCCACAGTGAGTTCCTAGTCATTGACTTTAGTAATCTTGATTTAATTATAACCAAATTCAGTCCCATTACACAAATGAAAGACAGGATTCAGTTAACAAGCCCTGTTTAATCAGTGACTGTGTTCCAGGGGCATAAGCCTGAATAGTACAGCAGTAAGGCAGGGATTCCTGCTGCTCAGGAGCGTGCCAAGCATGCTGGAACAGGAACAAAACCATCAGTGTTCCCAGCGGGATGCACGTATTTAACTCTGCAGGTAAATGTACTTTGTATTTTCATCAGGTCCTACTTCAAATGTATTGCAAGAAGCAGAGGTCCCTCTCCTTTCCAATGAAAAATGCCAGCAATGGATGCCAAAATATAATATTACTGAGAATATGCTCTGTGCGGGATATGACGTGGGAGGAATAGATTCCTGCCAGGTAAGTGGAAGGAACTCATTTCCACTGCTGGCATAAGCCTCATCTAGGTACTGAATAAAATGCTCCCTGATCCTCCACTCACGAAAACCAGAACAATCCCTGTCCATTAATGTAATTTCTACTCACGGTATTTTGCCCATTTAATAATTTATCAGGCTACAAGTTTAAAAAAAACCAAAATTATTTTTGGTGTCATCTTGGCATTACAGCCACGGAGGGAGATAAATAGAAGGACTGGAAATTTTCTGCACTAGGCTTTCAATAATTCCTACTGAGTAATTCCATGAAGGAGGGACGTACTTAGGGAAATGCAGAGAACAGAGAAATAAATACCAAATAGACCAAAGTCTCAGAAATCATAAAGAGAAAGAGAGAGAGCAAAGCTGATATCCCCCAGAATCTGTAGACTCTGGAGACCTTTCCTAACTAGACACTACAGTATTTCAGAGAGGCTGCCTTTCTGCACTGATATGTGCTTCTGTGGGTTTAGTTTTTACCCATTCCAGCTCTCTTTATAACTTGCTGCTTCTCTTTGAGGATGTACCCAGAGGTGGCTGCCACATGATTGTGGCATGGAGACTGGCTGACTTGCCTCAAGCCTAATGAGGAGCACGCTCACATAATTCCTATTGCCTTGCCCCCCGACCTAAGTCTTCATCACATGCCCTGACTTTGCCCTGTTTAGTCTAGAACAAAGACTGTGTTCAAGCCTAATGTCCTTTCCCCTCATGGTTTTCCTCTTTCCCTTTTTCTTTGTGAACCTTATACTGAACAAAATCCAGTGTAGCCCCAGAGGCTGATACAGAGTACAAGTGACCAGCACTGTGATCAGTGGCCACTCAGCCATGAGCAAAGATGAGCAAGCAAGTCCTGATAGTGCATCCCCCTTTAGGCTGCTGTCACAGCCTTTAATGTTTTAGGATGCCCTAGAGCTACAGACAGAAATATTTTAATTTTAATCCTTGCAGAATTCTCTGGTGAAGATCCCTTCACAGGGCCTGGAGAAGACACAATTAATACTGGTTCAGCTAACTCAATAGACAGTGAAAAGTAGTCGTTGTTTTCTTTCTCATCAAAACAAGATACCCATGGCTGACTCATCCCCACTCAAACTAAATCAAATTCAGTCTCTATTACAATGCTACATCTGCTAAACTATTGAAAGGGAGGTGAGAGAAAGGGCACCTTCTCTTCTGGCAATCTTTTTATTTTGTTCTCTAAATTTGAAACTGCGTAAAATTCTGGGGTGAGTGAAAATAGAACTGTGTTTTGGCTGAATATATTCAGCTGAAAAAAATCCTCCACTTTTACTCAGACTTTGTGAAATATGAAGGGCTGAACATGAATAAGAAAAAACCTCTTGAAGTCCAGGTCTGTATTGGAAGACTGACACCAGCTTAAGCTCACATCATTAAAATACAAAGAAAAAAGAAATGGATTTTCTTTCAAGATTTTTTTTTTCCACATGGAAATATTCATATTGATCTCACTTCCTGGTGCTCAGGACATACACGGGTAGAGCATCTATGACTGAGGAACAAAACGAACATCATAAACAGGCTCTGCTTCAGAGCTGACACTGCTGCTTTTAACTTCTGCATTTGTTATTGCAGGGGGATTCAGGAGGCCCTCTGACATCTGAAGATGGGGACAAGTGGTTTTTGGTTGGTGTAACATCATTTGGTGAAGGGTGTGCACTTCCCCAGCGACCAGGAGTGTATGTTCGAGTCACCATGTTTGTGGACTGGATCAAAAACATCATCTATTAGCTCGATATTTTTAAATTATAGAAATAGAATTTCGATGTTGAAAGACATTTTATAATGATGTAAACTAGGCTGCCATTCCAATCTCACAGAGAAACTGAATACATAAATCTTGGTGAGGAAAACATTGGTAACTTCTCTTTGTTAATAAGACCCAGTTCCAAGTGAGCACAATATTTCAAAAGAGATGCTGTGATTTTGTTAATAAATGGTTTTATCATTTTGCTTTTTGTTTTATATAGGATCTTTAAAAAACAGATTCTTTGAACATCAGTGCATTGATTGCACAGTGGAGGGCTTTACAAAGCATAGGCAGTAAAAAGAAGTTTGCAGACTGTAAATGCTATAGTGGAAAAGAATCAAAATTGTTGATAGAAGGTGAAATATTATCTGGTATATGCTTTTACATTGTGTCTTTCAATGTGCAATTTCATATTAATGAAGAGTTAACTCTTCCCAGCAATCTCTCTGCATATCAATATGAAGTTGTGTGTTCTGTCTTTAAACTGGGTTTATGGGAGTTCCTCTGCCTTTCCTGTCACAAAAGGCTCGGGACTGAGGTTTATGGATTGTGCAGAAAGGCTGACCATGGATCATGCTGCTTTCTAATGAATAAACTGAATGGCAGCCAAAAGTTCTCTCTTGTGTAATGTGTTTGGAATTAATAGAGTTAAAAACTGATTGAACAGAGCTTTTTAGTTTTCTTTCTAGGCAAGTGTTTGGCAATTATTCAAACAATTATAGAGATGTGTGCTTGTCCACACCCAACCACAGACTCAAAATACAGCAACTTCTCATTAAAGTGATGTTTGTAAAAACATTTGACAATAATGAGTACCAGCTCTCCCTCATGAATAATAGTGTTCCTATATTACATGCTTTTTCTGTAGTGGTGATTTTTAATACAGATTTTGTGCTTTGTAAAAAAAAAACCAGCAGGTTTAGTACAGCATTCTAAAGGGGAAAGAATATGAAAACTAAAATATACAGAGAGGTGTACGATTGTTGTAAGCTCCTGGCTTTGGTTCTTGCAACCCCACATGCAGATGTAAAATGCTTGAAAAGAGAGGTTGGCAGTCTCTGATTAAAAAAAAAAAAAAAAGAAAAAAAAAAAAAAAGTCCCAAACTGTTTTCAGGTCTTTGTAAGCATTAGAGAACTAGGTCCAGACCAAAATCTCTATCAAGACATCCATGATCACAAATAACACAGATAAACATAATTACAACAGAGAGAAGGCAAGAAGGTGTTTTAGACACAGCCTCTCATATGAAAGACACAGTTTTTTAACATTAAAATATTAAAGTTGCAAATTTTGTCTTTCATAGTGGACTATTGTTTCTCCTATTACTCTGAAAAGTAGAGCATATTGCTATCAGTATAAATTGATTTGGATGAAGCAATTACATTAAAACGTTTAAGTAAAATGTGACCTGATTTTTGCATTATTTACCATACATCATTATTGTACATTGTGCTTCAGTCTGTTAATGAAACACAAAAGCCAATGAAAGCAGATTCAGTCGCTAGAAAATGTGCTTTCCAGGAATACAATAAGATACTTGTGTGCATTTTCTTGCTTCCCAAAATGCAAAGCATAAATGTATTTTGAGATATACATTGATAAACCCCCTCAGACTGAAAAAGTTCTGTTATAAACCCTGGCATAAAAAGATATATCATATAAACTATTTTAATTTAAAAAGCCATTTTATTTCAACTAATTATGTCTAGACAAAACTAACATAACCTCAGTCAGTCACATTCTAGCCTTTGGTCACCATGCACGGCTTCAGTTGACTGAGAATTAACCTGTGCATAAACCAGTCTATACTATGTTAAGACACTTGGGAAGAAGAGATTATTTGCAATTGAGTAAATTCCAAGGTGCTTTGAAACAGGGGATGGATATGGTGATAAATATGGAAATACTTTTTTCCCCAATAGCCAGTATTTCTTATTTCTACATAAAATCTGAGCACACTACAACAGAAGTACTGAATGCCACTTCCCCATCTGCATTTACACAGAGCTTGAGACAGTTTGCTGCCCAGCCATCACTTTCACTCTGTGAAAAAACAATCCTGAAGGTATTTTCATTCTCCTAATTGCTGCTTCAAACGCACTTTTGCTGCCACTAACCATGATATTGATAGTGACAACTTTACATGTCCTTTGGAAGCATGAAGAAATAGTTAATCCTTGAGTTAAAGGGACTTAATCCTTGAAGACCATAAAAAAGACCTTTTTACCACAACTCAAGAAAGAGGTCTCTCTTCCCCTCAGCTGAGTTAATATTTACATCAGTAGTAAACCAATTCTGGTCTTGGTGATCATGTAGGATCATAGTATTTTCTCACTGCAAAGGAAACTGAAGTTGGGGACTGAACAAAGTTCCTACTTATTTCCTACCTTAAAATATTAGATTAATATTATAAATAAATCTATAAAACCTATAGAATATTTTAAGTAGGAACAACAATACTTAATCTGAGCTACAGGAGTTTTCTTTGAAAAGGAACCAAAACCACTACATAAGAGCAGCTTTAAGATATTTCCAAAAGTGTTTCAGCAACTAATTGCACAATAAGTATTAATGGCACTGAACTTTCAAATATTTTTTCTGGATTCAGAAAAATTGAGACACATTTGTCTCTGAAGTGATGTGGTCAACACCAGCCAGCACAGTGCAGGCAGCCCTTTAGTTCTGCTTTTCTCAGTCTCTCCCCAGCAAAGACCCAGTGGTAGTTGGGAATCTGTGTTAAAGCCAGCAAGGTTGAACTCAGACTCTTGAACTCTTGCTGCAACAGCAGTAAAATCCCTTAACTTTTTGCTCTGACACCAGATTGCCACCAACAAATCGACAGGAGTGCTGCTGCCACCACCCTGAGCTGCTCCTAATGACTGGCACAACCATTCTTAAGGCACAGAAAGCTCTTAAGGAATCAAAGAGAATGGACATTAATGATGTTAATCATAACTCTAAAAGACAGCTTTAAATGCATCACAGTTACCTCTAAATCTATCCACCAATTAATATAATTAATGTGTTTCTAGATAATAGTCTGAGTAATGTTGGAATCAATCTATGAGTGCCACTTCCAAGAAAAAGCTTTTGTCTTCTTGTTCCAACATTATATTATTCCTAAGAAACTATTAGCTATATTTAAATGACCTTTAATGTCTTTTTTATGTAGACTTACTGAAACAGTAATTTTAGTCTTAAACTCTTGCCCACCGTGATTTTTTTTCTATCAGAAAAATATTTTATTCAAGTAACAACTAATAGCTGCCTTTAAAGGACACACCATTAATGAGGTATCAATTTTCAAGTTACTTATATTGACCTTGGGCCAATATGACAAAAAGTTATAGTCATTCCCTGGCAAAATGTATTCATCCTATGATAGCAAAGGACTTTGATGAATCCTTGAATTTTGCCACATCAGGTTGATGTCACAACACGGTGGCTGTTTCTGTCAGCAACCATGTTAATATTTAATAAAATAATATTTGTTCCCAAGGTTCAAAAACTGTGTTAAGTGTGCAAATAAATACTAAACAAATATTTTGTATCAAACTTTTATGCAAAGATAAATAATTGTTACACTGTAAAATTGTCAGTTCCATTTACTGTACATTGACTACAATACAATGCATGAGAGACTAAAAGAAACAGAGGAGGAGGTTTGTTTAACTACAAACAGTCTTAAAACTGACATACATTGTGGATATTTCCCCATAAAAACTTCAAATGCTCTGTTTGTTTCATTGCTCACAACTAGCTAACTTACATCTCTTAGCAAAATAAACACATACCCTTTATTTAGCATGGCATATTTTGTTACTGAATTAACAAACATTATATAAAAATGATCTGAACATTTGCCTCAAGGGGGAGCTTACAGTTCATTCTTGTAGATCCTGTGCATTTTCAAGCCATTCCAAGCTAATGTTCTTTGACGACATTATAATACAGCCTCACTGCAAAATGTTATTTTTGCTTTGTTTTCAGTCAGTAAATCGTTATACCTCCATGCTACTGTCCTTCCTAGGCGTCTTTGAAATCCATAGTGTGGACTGGTTTGGACTGGTTTTTGTTCTTCCTTTACTGAAAAATAAGAATATAGACTATTTTCAGTGCACGTGTGCCTTTGCAGTCCTGATTCAGCTCTGTGATCAGACCTGAGTGTTTCACCCCCAGATCTCAAGGCCACATTTGGTGCTTTCACACTGTGGGTTCCCCATCCACAGTGGCACTGTTACCAAAATTACCAGACCACCCTGCTTAGCAGTGCTGCTCCCAGGAACTGCATTGAATTGGCCTGTATGGTTTTTAATTTATTCTTTTTCCAGTTCCCATCCAACCACACCCCTTATACAGAGAAATCTTTTCAGAGAAGGACTCAGATTGACCAAGGCTGGTGGGAGCTGAGCACTTCCCTAGTCTGGGGGGGACCAGAGCACACAAACCCCCCTAAATCCATGCCCAAGGTGCAGCCCACCCACCCCAGTGGGTACCACACCCCTGCCCACCCTGGGTACACCAACAGGGTCACCGTGCACCCCTGAGCCAGCAAGCCTCTTCCCTTCAGGGCTTGACCTGACCTCTAATGACGTGATGGCACATGAATCAGACTCCTAGCAATGAATGACTGGTAGAAAGCTTCCTTAGGGCTGGTTTTCAGTCAAAGCTGTCAATAGTTGGTTTTGTGTTTGGCATTTTTTTCAATTAAAAGTAAAACTGGTTCCAAAAAGTATTGCTCTGTAATAATGCTAAAGTGCTCACTCTGATTTTTCCAGGGAGCCCTGAGGCACACTGAAAGTTTATGGCAGAGTTGCCACATGGCTACAGGTGCCACAATGCACCATCTTCCCTCACTTAGATTGGCAGGTGACAGTGCACTGCAGACTACTGAAACAGGAGCCACTTCAGCTGCATTTCAATGAAAATGCTTCAATCTCTGGGCAGAATATTTCACACTAATGGGTTTTTTTCCCGATTGAATAAGAACCAGAGGAGGAGAAGCAGCCCTACATAACTCTGTAAGGTTGAAGCCTAAGAGTCCCAACAGTCCTATACATTCAGTTTTATGCCTTTCTTGGTGTGCAAGACAGTCTGAGTTGATTTAAAATGTACTTCGAGGGTGCTGAATGCTACAGTAGTTTTCAATCCCTCCAGACTTACCTCTGAAGTCCTACAAAGTAATGCATTATGTACCTGAGCCCATTGGAGTAATTGAAAAGACTCCCTTTGGCTTCAGTGGACTTTAGATCAGGCCACAATGCTATAAACAAAGCAATTTCAGTAAATCGAGTAGTTCCAGCGCTTCCCTCTTAAAGAAACGAAGTCACTACTTCCTTCCAGATTAACCCAGCAAAAACAATCATAAATTAATGATGAGAGGCTGTGGATGGAGAGTCCTTGCCACACAGCAGGAACAATTTCTAAATACCTTGGATCAGAACTTGAGCTGTATCAAATGAGCTTATCTTCAGCAAACCTACGCTGATTTTCACAGCTGGTTCAGGAAACAGATTTTAGTGACAAAGGTAAGATGCAATAAATAGCTCGAGCATATTGGTGTTTTGACCATCAAATGCAATCATAGAAACTGAAAAATATACCAGGTAGGAATTTAAACTTTCTGCAAGGCATTCAGATGATAATGGAGATGGGTCTTTGAAGCAGTTTCTCCTTGCTTCCCTGGAAGAAATGAAAGGGAGAGCATCTAAGCATGAATGAGCTGATCATTTCTGCTAGCTACAGGGACGAGGTGCTGCTTTGCCTTATTACTACCCTTCAAGAGCCCAATGCCAGGCAAAATTAGTCATGACCTTTCAAGCTAGGCATGTCCTGGTTGGCCATGGGTTGTGGCTTTCAGAGGAAAGGTCACCATGTTGTGGAAGCCTAAAAAAGAATGAGAAGTCAGGTTCATGTGGAAAGTTGGGGATCCCTCCTTCCCCAGCAGGACAGAATCCCTTTCCTAAAGATCTACAGTGTCTAGATGATCAGTCCAAATGATTGTCTCTTTTTTTGATTTGTTTTTTGCCCAAGAACAGCAGATTTGTGATAAACTAAAATGGTTTGCAAGGGAGGTCATGAGTGGAAATTGAAAATAGATAGGAAAATATTTTTTAAAAAATGAAGGTTTTTTTTTTTTAACAGATAAAATACTGGTGATAGTATTAATTTTTGGTGATAATTTTTTTGATTGGAATGATTTTTAAAAATGGTTTAATTTCTTTAATTAAATGTTTTGATGTAACTCAAAATGGACATTCTGGGAATAAAAAAAAAAAAATAAAACAAACAAACAAACAAACAAAAAAGGTGACCCCTTGATTTTTGTATCATTTCATCTATCAAACTAATCAGCTAACAGAAAAAAAGCAATCTTTCAAGGTGAATTTCCAATATCTGTGTCATGCAATTTTGACATCTTGGAAGTTCAGATGAATTACTTCTGGATGAACTGCTATAGCATCAAAGGCCTGATCAAAGCCCACTGAAGTCAACACTACTGTTTCTATTGATTTCAGTGGGCCATGAATCTCTCATTGCTTTCCCAGGAGTATTCAAGGGCTGAAACTTTTCTCAGAAGAGAAAAACCTGCCAGAAAAGGTACAGAGCTATACCATACTTACCAAGAAATCCAGGGCCACTGTAATAAGGGTTCCAGAGTACCATTACTATATAATTGCTATTGTTATACATATTACTCTTTTACTACTCGTTTTTGCTTTGAGCTTCCAGCCTTCTGCAGCCCCGGTGGTGAGGTTTACACATAAATTTCACAGGCTCATATTTGCCTGTCATAAGGCAGGTTGGAAAGAGTATATTTTCCTTCTCTTTGTAGAAAATGCATAAAATAAAAACACAATCAAGTTTGTTATGCAGACCTCATAACATCTGGTTTTTTATGGCTACTTGTTGCAATGAGGCATGGTACTAAGGAGTACTGCAAATATACACTCACTAGTACAGACAGAAACAGTCTTCACATTTAGAGTGTTTTCTCACCTGAAATAAGTTACTGCAGCTAAAAATCATAAGGAAAAAATAAAGGCTAAAAATAAAGAGGATTTTTAAAAATGTCTTAAAACAGTGATATCATATTCTTTTTAGTTATTCCTGCTCTTCAAGAGGGACAACAGCTTATGAATCTGCTTATTACTCTTGATATTTTACCAAAATAGCATTTTTCTATAAAATATAGAGAAAAAATATATAAAAATATATTTCAGTTTATTCTTCTGGATTATATTAACTTGAAAACACTTCCTGAACTAAAGGATGAAAATTATATTTGAAAGTTTCAGAAATAGTAGTTTAGAAAAAAAAATATAAATTATGTGCTGTCACATCTTTATGTATCTATAGCATATTTTGAGAAAAATGAAAAGTCCAAAGAATATTAAAGCATGAAGCAAAGTGCTTTGTATTTCAGAGGCTGAAATGTTTCCTTTTTGCATAAAAGTACATCTGCTTGATATCACAGCTATGAATGGATCTATTTATTTTATGCATCCTCTTTAGCATATACATGATGTAAAAAGGATATCACACTGGAGTGTGGCTCAAAGCAAGTTTTTGCTTTTAATTTTCAATTTCTGTGCTCCATGGCCCATCTGTTGTTTGTATGTTAGGTGCAACAGTGGAACAGGATTAAGCAGCTGCTGGCCCCTAGGTCTGTCCTTGGAACAAATTTCTACTTTAGGTTAGAAAGTGAATCCTTGGGTTCACCCTTGGGTGAAACAGATCAGTCCTTGGGTTCACCCTGTATCTGTGAGGGACCCCTCTTCTATTTCCCACAGCCCAGGTACTTTATATATGGTAATCACCATGAAAGAGGTGAAGTAATAGTGCTGACAGCAGCCCTGCCCACCAAGTAGTCTGCAAAGAGACTTTCTTCAGAAACAGGTGGAGTCCCAACAGCAGCATACTTTGAGACCTGGAATTATTTCAGTATGTTGTGGAAAAGCCTGAAGGTGAATGTTCAGCAATGACAGCTGTAAACTACTTGCATTTTAATAGATGAAAAGGCACTTATTTGCATATTTAGGGACAGATGTAAGCAGTCTTTCAGTAGGAAAAGCTTGCCAATGGAAATATGAATTCTGCATTATAAAACAACTATGGATGAGTATATTTTACCTTTTATGAAGCATCTGGAAACAGCAAGTCCCAAAAGCCACCAGTATCAACAGCAGTAGTGGTATAGTGGGTATTACAACATAAATTAAATTCGGAATTATACCTACAAGACAAAAGTTCTCATTAATGTCTCCCATGTTGAAATGCTTTTAACTGTATGAGTAAAAATCTGGAGTAAAATAACAGGAATACATTAACTTACACAAAAGAAGACATACATTCCTTCTATGGGAAGAGCTCCAAAGAGAACTCAGCAGTATCAAGAAAAAAGCAACACTTGAGTTATGTGCAAAACATATCTTAAGGTATTAAATTCTGACATTTTCCAATTTTGTAACTTAAAATTCAAGTATTTTAATGGAGTACATTTCACTGCCTAATTTGTTTGCAGTCCATTTTAACTGTAGACTCGGTTGTCTTGGTATGTGGATTCCCTGCCCCTGCAGGACCACAGGAGGAATGAGCCTGGCTCTCTCATCTTCCCTTGCCCCTTAAAAGACAAATATAGCCTCTCCTTCACTAATGAGGAAAGCTAAAGGTGCTCCTCTGCAGGTCCCTGCACAGAAGGAGTGGGAAATGGTACAGGCTGAGATTCTATTATCTGTCTGCAATAGAGGATGATGTCTGCAGCTTCCAGAGGGGTACTGTTTCCCCATAACTAATGCCCATGTTTTATACTAGTACATGTTTAATGTACAACCATTACCCTATTTTGAAAATATTTTTCTCTAGCAAGAATAAATGTGAATATTCAGGTTATGTTTGAATTTTAGGGTCTTCGCACAGTTTGTATTAAATGGTGTCCTTGATTTCAAACTACACTTCATAAAAATAATAATTTCCCTGGAGTTACAAATAATGGAAACACCAGTTAGGAAGCTGGCCTAATCCAGACAACCAGTGGGAGAACAAAGGACCCACTTTCCATAATCCCATGGTGCAATCCTATAAAATCCAGAGCCACTCCTTACATACGTTCATTCCTCGAACTAAAACCATGCTACAACTCTTCCTGAGCCTCGGGACTTCATTCAGAAGATAAATTGCTGAATGAAGCAGCCAGGGGCATTGCAGAACCTGGGCAGTAAGTATCCACTTCCCAAATATCATGTGTCATCTCTACTGGGAATCTCAGCAAACTACTAAACTCCTCTTAGTATGTAGTTTTCCCAAAAATAGGGTACTTGGGGGAATTATGGACAATGGTGTTTATTCTAAGTTTGGTGAGGCAAGGAAATAATTTGTTTCCACAGCAACTAAGAGGGCTAAGACTCCTGAAATTTTCAGGGCACTTGGCAGGGAAACAGACTGCTTCCTCCTATTGACAAAAATGGAAACTGAAATGTTTACTTAGTTCCACTGTTAATATTTTTAGCAGACCATTACATTCATATGAACACATTACCTGTTTCAGTAGCAATAATATGATACTGATCTTCTGGTTTGCTTGTGTCATAAGGATTTCCTGCTGGCACTGTTGGGAAAATATCTGAAAAAGAGATCAGACACTTTAAGAAAATAGTAAAAAATATGGCCATTATGTTTTTAACTAAATTAATAGTAACTACATTTTAATTTATATTGGGAAAATGAACATTTTAATGATTTGTTAAATATACATGTAAACAACATTTTATTACAAAATTGAAATTATATAGGGAAGAAGAATTACAAGCAGTGTTATTCTGAACAACAGCCATATATTTGTAGCTGTTAGTCTCTGAAGAATTCATTTCTCCTATGTTCCAGTTCTTAACTGTGCCTGTTAAATTTGAGTAATTTTGGAGGTTCTTGTATGTTATCCTTATAATTATGTGGTTAGCAGTGCAATGGAATTTAACGTGTCAAAATTTCTTACCGTATTCTGGCTCTGCTCTGTCTCCTAATTCTTTTTCTAAGACATTATCTGTTAAATCAATATTTGAAATTGATTGTTGAAGAATGAAAAATGTGTGCATAATAAAACAGATGTTTCCATTTTTTTTCATGCAGTATCACAGAAATAGATACATTTCCCCAAACAATAATTGCTTAATTCTTCACCAAAGACTCTTTACAAACTAGTGTCAAATCACCTCTAGTTTATACTTTTTGGTCCTTAGAAGAAGGCTACACTTTAGTCTAATTTCAATTCTTGGTGGCCCCTGATTTAATGGCTGATGGTTAAAGGCTAAGCCTCTGAACATCCTAACTTCTTGTGCTGAATAAAGTGCCTAACATATCCAAAGCTTCATTTGTGCAGACAATTCTAAAACACTATAAGAAATTCTCTCTATCATAAGGTTATGCTAATTTAATAGTGCTATGAGACTACAGTTTTGGGTGTCTTGATAGATGCAAAGTGCTGTGAGAAATCAAAACAGCAATAAAACCTACTAGATAAAGGCAATTATTTCACCTACTCTGGTAAAAAATAGCTACATTTGGCCTTATATAAGGAAAGATGCCAAGATACCCCAAAGAACTGAGCTGTTGTCTCTTGACAGCATAAGAGGAGATGAGTTTTTAATTTGATTGCATAATCAAACCTACAGGAGCTGGACAGGAACTAAATGTGGTTGCAATTACCAACCTATAATTAAATTTAAGATTGCTGAATGATCAATACGATCCAAAGCCAGACTGAACATTGCAACAGTAAATGCTGTCAAGCGAAGGCTTGGAAAAATAAAAGTGTCTACCAGAAATGTAGTTGGTGCTTGAGCAAGGCTGCCTAATGAACACTGTCCTGGACTTGCTGATGATACAATTAGATGCAACTTCATCAAAGTCACCTACAACCTGCTTTGGCCTGTGGCTAGGATCACACACTCTATATTAAATACAGACAGGAGAGATGTGGAAAACAACATACTCAGATAACAAACTGAAATTCAATATGCATGTGGCACTTTGGTACTCCTGGTGAAGTGGATGTATTTTACATTGCTAAGAGCTGACAGTGAACCCTTTACAGTGATTTGAGGGGGAGAAAAGGTCGTTTGTAAGTCTCACTTGGTTTGAGATAACAAATGCAATTTTCCTAAAAACATTGTTACTTTCTTCAGGCAGTGAAAATAATGTCATATATCTATTTATATACATTTTTGCATCTACTCCTTTCCTCCATGTGACAGAAAAATACATTTCTGGAGAATAGTCTGTTTTGCTAAAGAGCACAATTCCAACAGTTTGAAAAATAAATAGCTACAATTCAGTAGTACTGTATTTTGCTGCATAACAATGTCAGTACTAATAATAATCTACCTATACATTGTTTGCCTTGTATGCCTCATTATAAACTAATAACCCATTTCTACCTAGAGAAAGAAATATAAATGTATTTTCATTGTTACTGTTATCACTTCATTTTCGGAAAATCCAAAATACCTAGCATTTTCTCAGATGGTAAAAGCAATAGAAAAAACAATTCTTTACCATGTCTCAAAAAGAACAGTAAGTAGTTCGCTATTACAGAATAATTATCTAATTTAAATTTGCTTACTTTTAAAGCTACAAAATACACCTGAAACCAAAGCTTTTTAGTAAAGCCTGCAAATTCTGACATAAAAATGTTGGGGTTTTAACACCATAAAGCATTTTTATTTTGCTACATTATTTCAAAATAATTCGAACAGTTCTAAAAATGATAAAATTGCATATGTTGCATTTCCTTGAAGGACCTATGATGATTACTGATCATCATAAAGTAGTGATATTCACTAAAAATTTCAGATTCAGGGATGACAGTATACCAAAAAATGGTGATACATCAATTCTGCCAAATATTTAATATTTACTTGCAATAGCAATTGCCATTACTACCCTCATTAAGAGACCAGAACGTGAAAAAGTTATGTATCCACCAGGACTAGAGGAACAGAACAGCCTGGATCTCTACAGACAGACAGGTCTCTATCAAGACAGTGATTTTTGTTTGACCAGCAGAGTAAAGAAGGTAGGAAACTACAGAATTATATAGGTCAAACAGCTGCTGAGAGTAGGATTGCATAAAATCATAGAATGGTTTGGCTTGGAAGGGGATCTTGAAGATTCCTGTGTGCAGGGACACCTTCCACTAGATCATGTTGCTCAGAGCCCCATCCAACCTGGCCTTGAACATTCCCTGGGATGGGGCAGCCACAGCTTCTCTGGGCAACCTGTGCCAGGGTCTCACCACCCTTACAGTAAAGAATTTTTCCTAGTATCTAATCTACACCTACTCTCTGTGTGAAGCCATTCCCCCTTGTCCTGTCACTCCAGACCCTTGTAAATAGTCTCTCTCCATCTTTCCTGTGGGCTCCCTTCAGGTACAGAAAGGGCACAATTAGGTCACCCCAGAACCTTCTCTGTTCCAGGCAGAACAATCCCAGTTCTCTCAGCCTTTGCTCACAGCAGAGCTGCTCCATCCCTCTGATGCCCTCGGTGCCTGCTCTGGGCTGGCTCCAGCAGGTCCCTGTCCTTGCTGTGCTGGAGCCCAGAGCTGGATGCAGCCCTGCAGGTGGGGTCTGAGCAGAGCGGGGCAGAATCCCCTCCCTGCCCTGCTGCCCACGGGGCTCTGGATGCAGCCCAGCACTCGGGGGGTTCTGGGCTCCCAGAGCACACAGCTGGGGCATGTCCAGCCTCTCACCCACCAGCACCCCCAAATCCTTCTCCAGGGCTGCTCTGGATCTGTTCATGCCCAGCCTGGATTGGTACCAGGGGTTACCCTGACACAGGTGCAGCACCTTGGACTTCATCTTGTCAAACATCATGAGATTCCTATAGGCCACATCTTGAGTTTTGATTAATTTATAAATAAAATAAATCCATAATTTCGTATGCATTATGACTGTTAGCTTAGTTTTGAAAAACATACCAAAAATTGTTTGAAAATTTTTGCATGATCCTGCTAAAAAACACATTTTCATTTACTTTAAGTACCGCCAAGAGCAGAAAATGTTACAGGCTCAAACTGGAAAGTTTGCTTTTCACGTTCTTTCTGGTTTTGCACCTTTTTCTAGTTTATAGTTCACTTTTCCTCTATTGACATATACAGAACTTATGTCATGTCTGAAAGTACAGCCAAATTGCCTAAGATCTGTTTTTTCTGTCACCATCTCAACTAGCATGCATCTGCTTTTCATATCTCTAAGTCTACATGCATGAATAGAGAAAATTTTTCATGCTGTTCTGGACTTCATTCTTCAAGCCATAACTTTTTGAAACAACCATCACACATAAGTTGGTATAAAATGGCAGAGCTGCAACTGCAAGGACAGCACAATATTTTTTACAGGAGGACTACCTAGAAAGTAGAAAAAGTACACTTAAAACGCTGTGTGAATTTAGGGAATTAATTAAATTTAAAAAAAAAAAAAAAAAAACGAGAATGCATGATAGAAAAAAAAAAAAAAAAAAACGAGAATGCATGATAGTGAAGCTAACTTTGAAATCATTCTTATTAGATATAAACAGGTTTACTTAAATGTATTAAAAATGTATTTTAATAGTTGTTATTGGCATATCACCCCTTAATGCTAGCTCAGGCACACACCAAAGGAACCAGTACCACAGGCCAAAAGATACTTGAAGATTCCCTCAAAAACCAGGAGGCAATTGTCTTTCTGAGACAGTGTCCCACTGGTGAAATATAACTTCATTTTACCTACCTGGGGCATATTTGCAGATGAAATTGTGCTTCATGTTGCATCTATCATCGTTCCATTGATAGAGGTATGGCCCTCCCAGACCAGGGTTTGCAGTTGGCTGATGATACATCACCACACAGGCTTCACTTCCACAGGAAGGCTCATCTGTGTACCAATTTCTAGTTTTTGTAGATAAACGTCACCAGGATGACAAAGAAAAGAGTTTGCATCAATGACGAAGTATCAACCCAAACAGTCCCATCCACTTTAAAGACATCCTGCATTTCCCACAACTCTTCTGTGAAAGCAGCTTAAGCTCCAAGCTGCACATCTCTGAATCTTAAAATTCTGCTCAAAACAACTCTGCAGAAATAATACCCTTCTGCTCTGCCTTCCTCCCTATTATACTCTTATCTGCCCCCTTGGCTCGACTTCTGTGAGTTGCTGCTACTCTGGTCTTTGGATTCCTCAGGAAGTTAAAAGCTTTTCAAAAAGGGTAGAAACAAAACAATTTATGCTAAGCACCTCACAGTTGTTTATTTGGTGGTTGGTTCCCTGATTTGAGGTGGCCAGAGCCTTGCAGAATTTACCTGTCTGCTTTCAGACCACACCTGAAAGATTCTATGTGTGGTAGAACAACATCCAAACATCATGCAGAGGCAAACTCTGTGGGTGGGAGCAAATAAATTTGTAGACTGAAGCCACAAAATGCCAACCAGTCGTAGGATTCAAAATTCAAAACCCCAATTGCCAGCTACCTTTCATCTGGGGAAGTCAAGGGGAGATGCTACAAACTTCATGTCTTCAATCAAGGCTTGGCTGCCTTCCCTTCCATGAAACCTTCCCAAGCAGCAGTTTCACAACTCACCTGAATGGTGATGTGCTTCCATCAGCCCACTGGTAGAGGTCGGGACAAGCACTCGACGTGGCCAGTCCATCTCCACTTCTCCACAGCCCAATCCAGAAATCACCATCAGAAACCCCAGAGCCTGATTTGGTGAGGTTCTGCAGCATGTTTTCTATCAGCTGCTGCTCAGCTTCACTTTCCAAGCTCAGTAAAGCCCCACCATCGATCTCACAAGCCTGGCGAGCCTCCTGGAAGCCCACACGTCTAGACAAGTCCTGGAAATAGGCTAATTTGTAACATGAATGCTTGAAGGCACCATAGCACACCTTCTGGCCTGAAAAACAAAAGCATGGGACTGTTCAGAGTACAATAATGGACAGCAAAGATGCAAGAAAAGAATACAGCACACATGCTGGTGGAGGATGGGAGATTTTCGTCTGAGAAGATTCATGGTGATAACACTGGCACCACTGAAATCCTTTGTTTTGCTTTAAATTTCAAAGAGCACAGAGTTCATGAGAACTCTATGCCATCTTGTGATGGCCTGTGAAGCTCTCCAAACCACTGAAGATTCCCAATAGGTTCTAAAAAAAATATTCTGTACTTCAATGACTGTACCATCTGGCCTCTCTGTTATATCTGTTTGGACGGTATTTCCTTGACTATTTCACACTAGTGGACCAACTTCACTTCTGTTGTGTAATCAGAGCTATTAATTTTTTAAAAAAAGTTTCAAATTCACATGTTTAGTGGCAAGAAGGAGCTAGAAATTTTTTTATCTCCTAAGTAAACCTGGAGAGGAACTCATAGCCACTCTTCACTCCATTGTGCCTAAGTACAACCTGTAAAGGTCTACGACAGGAGAGAGTCTGCTCCTTGCAGTTCTTTGTCTGACAAAGACATATGTCTGTTTCCTAAAAAGGAAAAATAATTATAATTTTCCACTACTAAGACACTCTAGCATTTCTTCAAAATATACAAGATGAGGAATTAACACTCACTTATCAGCCACAAGTCTGAACTACAGTATGTTTATTTAGGGACAAGAGAAGGCTTCTAAATATAATAATCTCTTAAGCAAAAACAAAATCAAGTTTTTCCAGTATAGAAATTTATCATTGGAGAAGAAAAGTAGGAAAATTTACCTTGTTAAGAATGACTGAAGGATACTAAAGTTACAAAATCAGGCATTATCTAGACTGTTTGGAAATCAACATTATTTTACTGGAAAATTTGACAATCACACAACATGTCGAGCTAAAAGGGATCATTGAGAACCATGGAGTCCAACTCCCAGCCCTGTGAAAAACAGCCCAGGAATCATACCATGTGTCTGAGAGTGCTGTCCAAATGTTTCTTGAGCTCTGTCAGGTTTGGTGCAGTGACCTCCCTGGGGAGCCTGTTCCAGTGCCCAGCCACTCTCTGGGTGAAGAACATTTTCCTAATATCCAACCTAAACCTCCCCTGACACAGCTTCAGGTCATTCCCTCAGGTCCTGTCACTGGTCACCAGAGAGAAGAGATCATAGCTCTCCTTTGGGCACTCTTTAAGGGCTTTATATCCTTTTCATATTGAGGCACCCAAAACTGCTCAGAGCACTTGAGGTAAAGCCACACTGGCACAAAGTACAGTAGTTTATTGTACTATATAAGATTTGCATTTGAAATTCTTGTATTTCATCTCACTTTTGAGCAAACCCAGATATGTGATTCATATAAATAACACTTGAACAAGATTTATCCTGTTTCACTTTAAAAAAAAATAAATTTGTCACTGAGAAATAACAACATCCTCACATAACTTCAGCTATATTTAAGTTTTCCCAGGCAATGTTTTTCTACACACAAAGAGTAAACAAGCAGGTAAACAAAAAGACTTAAAAGCTACAATAAAGTTCATACTTTTTGCATTAGCATTGCTTCATTTTCATATTTAATAATAGGATACTTCCAATAGCAAATAACACAAGGTCTGAGATAAAGAGATCTCTCTATTTGCACAAAGCATAGTTTCAAGTTTTTGCAGAGGATAAGCAGATTTTATCAAAGATGCATTAATATAGGAATGGAAAAACAGGATCAGCTCTTGACTTTTAATTAAATCTAAAATAATTCTTATTTTTTAGGATCATTTCTGTTGTAGAAAGCTAAATTACAGGGGCAGTAGGGATATACTATTCTTAACTTTCCAGGGTTTCCTACAATTTTTGTAATCTTTCTAGGAAAAAAAAAAAAACAAACTCTGAAACTTTCATTATATAATACCCATTAAAGTTCATCTGGAGAAGACTACCAGGAAGAAAAATATCTTTTTAATCTCATTCTTACCTTAGCAGACAGACTTCTAAAAATTTAGTTGTTTATCAGTAATTAATCTACCAAAATAACACAGGAACATGAACAGTCTAAAAAAAGGACAAGCTTGTGGCGTAGATATGGAAAAAGCCAGGCTCCAAGATCAGATAGAGAGTGCCAATTTTGACTTTCTCTGATAGTGTCCTGACGACAATATATGCTCCAATTTCCTCCTGATGTTTCCCTTATTCATATAAGTTAGGAGCCTTGCTCTCAATAAATGTAGCAAGGGCCATAGTCCTAGCTGGGCAAGGGTGCTGAAGAAGCAAGGGACAGACCCTTTAAAAGAGTTGTATATGAAATTATGGGCTTCTTCCTAGACTTCTTTGAACAAAAGAACTACTACTCTAGAAGTAGCAAAGTGATGAGTCTAAATGTTGTAAAGTGGGAAGTGCAAGGATGAAAGCTGCATGTGAAATCCCAGCTCATTCCCTTCCTCTACAATGCTGAAATTCCAATTTTGTTAACGTGATCAATTTTCCCCAGCTCTGTCTCAGTGACAGGCCAGAGTGCACAGGGAAGGAGGAGCTGATCAGCATTCTGACCCTCACTGCTGGGTGAGTGACAGTGGCTTATTGCCAGAGTACACATGTGTACATAACAGCACAAACATCCAAAGCCTAGCACTGAATTATGCAGGACACTAATCACTTCCAAAAGTGACCACGCTTTTCCCTGTAGCTGAAGACTGGATTCAAAGTACATGAAAATTTAGGAAGAGTGCTTTGTCCACTGCCTTGCTCTTTTTATTTTCCCAGACAATCTTTGAAATAAATTCTTCCATGCTTCCTTTCATTCTGTGCACATACTTCTCCTTGACATCAAGTAGTAAGTTATGAGCAAATTCAGGTGTCAAAGTACCCCGGTCACAATTTCAGTCATGCAGGAATGTTCAACCAACTGTGATGAGCAGGCTGACCACTATGGATCGTAATTCCTGCACTGCTCCTCCCTCTCATGGGAAAATAGCTAACTTTGCCTTTATAACACACAATCCACTCCCCATCTCTGCACGTTTCTCAGGTGGCCGAGGTGCTCCCCTTACTCCCTGTTCTCATGCACAACCTCTGCTCTTCTGTGACTCTCCCAAAACCTGAGCCAAACCTTCTAGCAGAAGAAATGGATCCTTGCTGGCTACCAAACTCAGCTTTCTCAGGATGCTCACCTGCCAGTCAGCTGCTGCATGGAGACTCCAGTAGAATCAGAGAATCTTTTAGGCTGGCAAAGACCTTGAAGACCACCGAGTCATAGCAAGTGCTGTTTCTGACCTGCTCCAAGGCTTGTATGCACAAGCTGTGCTGCATTCTTGTCCAACTCAGAGGCTGTATCAATGCTCAGCTCCACCATCCACACCAAGGAAACCAGGTGGGGCTGCATGGAGCAGAGCAAGGAGGATGACAAGCATTTGTGATGCACAATGGAAAAGAGCTACTGCAGCCCCTAACACGTGCCCAGCTTGCCACCATCGTGCACTCAAGACCCTGTTGGAGCCATCAGAATACAGATGTGAAGTCCCAATTTCTACCCAAGGGTTTATCTGACAGGGTTTCCAAGTTAAAATCTCGAAGCTTTGTGGCAGACATTTTCTTTCTTCCCTTAAACTGACATGAATAATTTTTAAGGATACTTTTGTTATTGCAGACTTTTGGGCAGGGTTAAGTAACTCTAAAATCAAATTTTATAAAGTGAAAGAATTGAACAAATGAAAATTCGCATGAAAGCCAACTCCTAAATTACTGCTCTTTCATTTATTGCTCTCTACCTGTGGCCAGAAAAAAGAAATTTCCTCCTTACAAGCTGATCATTTCTGCAAGAATATACCTCCAGAAGCCAACAGAGAAAACAGCAAGAAACAAAGAAGTAATTGACATTAAGACCTGTAGACCCAAATAGTGTGAATTAAGTGTGTGAGGCAGAGAAGTAAGCTTTCTGAAAGAAGCTGTGAATTTCTCTTGTTCTAGTTAATTTAATCCCTGTGTTCAGGCAGTGACCTACTCGGAATCTTTTCTTTCTTCTTTTGAAGCGGACTTTGAACCGGTTCCACTACAGCAGATAAATGTGTTAATGGAAATCTGCAGTTTTGCCTTAATAGCTGGCAAATCAGTTGACATTTTAGTGCTCTTCTCGGAACACACTGAGATGTCAGGTTTTAAAGCTTCATTTTTTCTCTCTACTACTAATTTCTGAACTACAAAGCAGAAATAATTTACCACTGAAAAATGACAGAATGGACCACATTGTACAAGAGACAAGATAAGTATGGAAATACCAACTATATGCTATTTTACCTTATTCTAACATCTTCCAGCAGACTCCACAGTTAGTTCTAAAGAAACATTTTGCTATTTCAGCTGCATAAATTGAGTTCCAATTTTTCTGTCACAATTAAATAGAAACTAGATTTGTAAGCAAGACTATTAGAATGAATCGTGTTAAGATACTATGCAACGTGAATAACTTTTTTTTTTCTTTTGGTCTCATCATCCCATTAGCTGATGAAAACAAGTGAACACTATTTTCTCCAGAAAGTGCTAGCTACTATTTCTATCCATATGGATCAGTTTTCATCTTTGGATGTTTCACAGAAGGTCCATAGTAGAATGTTTTGACAATAGCCTCAGAACAAAAATATTTTTAAACTAGATTACTCATTAAAATGTTTCTGCAGATAATTGTACAGGGGAAAAAATTTCCTTCAAGGAAAAAAAAAAAAAAGCAAATTGCAGCCTGTTATTTCAATCAGTTATATCTCCATTATGTTTTAACAATCATGCTTCATTAAACAAATAATAGGTTTCTTGATTTCTGTCATGACAGAAGTTATAGCAAAGTGTCATTCAGAAGCAAAATTGCTGATAAAATACCCACATCAAAGACTCCTCTCCCTAAGAGCATCAGGCTTCTTACTAAACCAAACCCCCCGGACCCATGAGGGGCACAAGGGTCATTTTAAGTGACACACCTCACTTAGCTGGAATCTTTGAAGAAGCCAGATAGGAGATAAGCTCCCTGCTGATAAATCCCATTCCTCTTCCTCTTGAGCTTTACAAGCTAACCTCTAACCCAGGTTATCCTGGATTAGCATCCATTAGCACCCACCTAGATGAGGTCAGCCACTGCATGTGCACAGCATATATGAAGAGAGACAAAAATGAATGCACAGAGCCTGATGCACTAAACTCCATTATGTTCTTGTATTTTGACTTTTTCTTCTTCCCAAGGCAATGGATTCAGCAGAAAACACAGAAGAGTACTTGGTAAAAGGCAGTACGAAATATTTAACATTTACCAGAGAAGTGTGAGCCTGATGGAGACTTCTAAAAACAAAGTGACAAAAACACAATGACTTAAGTGAAAGTAATAATGATATAGCAAAATAGAAAGCTATGGTAAATAACCAGAATATTCTCTGCCTCTGTTATGAAGACTAGTCTTGGTCCTGAACTGGCATGAGCACATCCTCAGGGATGACTAACCAGCATGTTGGACACTAGGTGCAATTTGTTTTTACCTGCCCACATGTCACAGGACACTCCACACCAAGCCCCAGTGATGCACTCCAGAGTGTGGCCAGTAAGAGACTAAGTGGTAATAAATTTTCCTAATCACATTTTCTTTCAAAGCTGATGCATCTTGTCAGATGGTCTTTGTATCATCCAGTCAGATTTTGACTGGGTTCAGCTGCTGGTCATATTTTGCTATATTACATTACTGCTGTTGATGTTTTACTGCATCATATTTGTGTCCATTCACCAAATATAATTCTTTTATGATTCATATTACTTTATTTTAAAAAAGCTGTGATAACATTTCATAATTACATTCTGTCTGCATTTATGATTAAAGCAAGTTTCCATCTTCTCTCCCAAAGCTTGTAACACTGAAAACACATCATTC